AAGGGAGGGAAGGGAGGGTGTTGATCAGGGAGAGAAGGGAGGGTTTATGATTTTAACTTTTTATTTTAATTAGTTCATTAATTAGGTCATGGTCTATATTGTCTGCTGTTGTCTCATTGGCCAATTGGTAGACACGGCCATGATTCATAAGCTCACGTTTAATACCAGAGTTGTTCTCCCTGGCAAACCCAACCTATCACGGTAGAGGATCAGTGAAGCTAGAGTTACCACCATAAAATATTTAGCATTTGGTCTAGCATTTGTCAGTTAAATATAGATGAGTGATGCGAGTTGTGGTTGAGGACAGATAGGGAAAAGGTATCGTTATGTTTGTTGAATATTTAGCTGTGGGAAACAACTAACTCGAGATGGCGGGCATGAGACACCCAAGAGAGTATTTGAGTTGAAGTTTAAAAAGAAAAGATGGGCGCTAAAAGAAAAAGCAGCCGTCAGGGAATGTTGTGACAGCATCAATTGTGAGTTCATAATTATAAAACCAGACTTGACCAACACTGGCTCATTTAAAAACCCTTTACATGCCCAGTTCTTGTCGGTGTGTAACAGAACCACCCGACTGGCCAGTAAGCTGACAAGTATATAATTTACGCTGATTTTTTTGTAACCCGCTCTATCACGGTTAAGGGTGTAATAAAACGTGTAAACAGAGAGATAAAGAGTGTAAGAAAGAAGATATACTTATGAAATGGAAAAAAAATACGAAGAGGTAACGTAGATACAAGAAACATTTCAAGTCAACATCAAGGGAAAACGAGCCTCCTCTTTTTGGCGCCAATCAACAAGGCTCCTGGGTGACGGCCGCTCGCAGTCTCGCACACCAGCAACCTTCCCGCCAACAGGACCGCCCAGACACAGGGTCACGGGTCCTGGGAATGAAGCCTGACAACTTAGCGAGGTGACCACAAGCATGATACGCTCACTAGGCCCGACACAGGGGAGGGTGGGGGGGGAGGCGAGCTATATGAAAGTGATGCCATATCTGTGTCCTGGATTACGGGCATCTGTTGTGGGTATTTGATAGGTGGTGTGATGAGGAGAGGAGCTGGTATCACTTTCTGCACGTAATATCATCCTTAACACTAATGATTATTAATACCTTACGTTAATTAATTTTTAATATATTTCTACGTTAATAATATTCATGTTGACTTGAGCATCAAAACATCATGATTATCGATTTATTTTACTCATGTTTGTTTTTATTCTACCATGAAGTTATATAAATTGTCTATGGTATTGTAAGTTTATATCTGAGTTAAAATTGGTATTGCTAAGAAATTATACTAAATACAGAGAAAGTTATATGTTTAGTGCAATTAGGGAGACGCTTGGTTTAGAACCCGATTGCGTATAATTATTCGTGACGTGACGTAGACTAATTATGTTTAGTTTAACCTAATCTAACCTAACCTAATCCCCCAGGTAGCCTTGGGGTGTTTAATCGTCAGGTGAACTAAGCTGGGGGTGTTTAGTCTTCATATGATACTTTAACTTACCTTCAGTACTTAAGGATCATATAACAACTTGGTCGCTTATATTCATGGACAAGATTTACAGAATAGAATTTGTGTTAATGTTATATTTCAGTAATGTTAAAATATAATCGTAGTTATACTTGTAGTACTGTAGCTATAGAAGACAAACTCATGTTGTGTTGAAGTTTGAGTTGTACGCTTTAACATGATGTCTTAGTTACACGGAAATGAGACATTTTTTGATAAGGAGTATTTTAATAAAGTGTTTAACGCGAGACTGTTCTGTTAAATAATGACGACTGGAAGTTGTTCATATAAGTTGAGTGAAGTGTGAGCGGTGGTACCGTAAGGAAGATACTGAGAAGAAAGCGTCTCGTTCCTTAGTGGACCTTAGTGGACACAGGAAGTGTTTCAAGTGTGTCGTACAGATGAATGAGATTTTTAAATTCTTAACGGTAAAGTTAATTTATGTGTAACATCAGTGCTTGACCGAGGAACATGACACAACACCTGGGAATAATTAGGTATAAAAGTCAGAACAAAACCCTCGGAGGAGAGGTACCTGGGCATGTGTTGGCCTTGCGCGGCACAGGACCTGCACACACACACGGCGGGAAGGAGTGACTGCCGCCACCACCGCCACCTGCCCCGCATATGGTCCTACCCAAGTGGAACAATGAGCCTTAGAAATCTTGAAGTTCGACTAGCACACATGAACAATGCCCCACGGCATCCCTCGCGCCCCACCGACACGCTGGAATTTCAGGAATGATGACAATAAGGTCAGCAGGTGCTGGTCACCACCCCACACAGCTGCTGGAACGGGCGGCTCCGAGGTAGATGCTCCAGTTGGCGAGGGTTGGGGGCAATATCTAAGCCAAGTTAATTTTCGTGTCAGTAAGTTTAGTATTAACTTAGAAGTAAAAGGCTAATATGAGTAATCACACACAGGTGTTCGGTTAACACGCTTTTCAGTTTGATACAAGTGGGAATATTTTAAATACTGCTGCAATGACTAAATTATTTGAGGAATATTTAGAGTTCATGACAGAAAACCATGGAATATTTTCTATGAAATATATATTTCGTTGGATGATATATTTTTTCCAGCACCGTTAACAGTCGACTACTTCGAAAATTCACTGTCAGATTAAAACTTAGAACCAAGATCCCGTTCTTCAGGAGCTTAGCAGTTATGGCACACGTCTACGTTTAGCTAGTGAACGTCACTTATAATTCAAAGGAAAATCAAGAGTAAAAAGATGATAAAATCGCAGTCCTCCACAACCTTGAGTACATACTGTAATGCCAAGGCTGTCTTAAAGAATGTTGTCCGCCTGTAGACACGATTCTCTCCTTAACTTCGTGTAACTTTATAATTTTCTTTCGTTAAGTTTGGTTTCACCTGACAAATACCTTTCAGATTATTGGAGAATATTTTGAGGAGTCGCTAGCTTATACGTTACCAAAGTTAGTTATGTTGTTAAAATTAACCTTGTATCAGATGTTTGACAGCTGATCACCTCATGACTAGTGGATGCAGTGCAGAGTGGCTTTATGTATTTACCATTATGACTTATTATTATTATTATTATTATTATTATTATTGCGATCTCCCTTTGTATATTATGATCACACACACACACACACACATACACACACACACACACACACACCCTTCAAACCAAGAGATAATCTTCAAGTTCTTTTCATATTCATTCCTTCCAGTCTTGCTCATTTACATACGACGGAGTCTACCAGCAGCCCTGATTACATCTCTCTCTGAGCCCTCTCCCTTCCACCGCCCCACCATCCCACCACCGCCAGCTGATGGTGGAAAGGAGGGGTGGTCTGCCCCCCTGGAATATTCCCATTGTCGCGCTACCTGGTTGGAATTCCTGGAATGCTAAGGACAGGTGGTCTCTATAGCCGTGGTCGTCATGGGAATTTGCTATAAGTCACTCGTGGTGGAAAACCTTCTTACAGACGCTCTTTGGTATTAAGTAACAGTAATGGCGCCGTTTTAATACAGTTTCTCGTTTGATTAAGACATGGGGATGGTATAATACAGTAGAATACGTCTATGATAGTAGTGAGGATGAAAGGCGGAGATAGTGAGGATAACAGCGAATGAATGTGTGTGTTCACCTGTACACATTCCATGGGGGTAAAGAAAGTACACATAGCTGACAGGTAATGTCGTCGTTGCTGACTTTCTGTTCTTGCTGACTGTTTACTGTTGCTGGCCACCTGTGCTGACAATTATTGCTGATGATGATGATGGTTATGGTGTGCTGACATTGATGTACTCTACACGGCCACAGGAGAATGTCAGAAAAATCTGCCCTTTGCGTGTAGAACATGTGCCGCGATACTGAGTACGGAGGACTTACTTTGCCTGTGTGTAGCGAATCCTGCCACCTTGTTGGTTAAAATATAATAAAGGTTTGATTTAAGTGATTTTATTTATTCAATGAATCAAGAGGGCTTGGAGGGTGACTTAATTGAAGTTTATAAACATCTCTAAGGGCAGTACTTAGTCGAGTGTTGTTTAACTTAAGGTTGAAGAAGCCACAAGTTAAAAAAAATGTCAGGGTAAATTTTTCGGAGTGAGAATTGAAATCTTTTGGAACAATCTGCCGAAGTGCTGTGACGGCACCGAGTGTGAGGTCATTCAAGACATGATTTGACCAACACCGCCGCACCTACAGATACCTTCAGGAGCCGGTGCATGCCCAGTACTTGCCAACAGTGCTTAACAGAAATGTGACTGACCGTCCAAGCGGCTAACGAGCCGATCAGCGGCGAAGTAAAACAAGCTAATACCTGTATTAGGCAAAAAGTTATGACATAATTTCATGATAAGTAGTACTGTTTAGTGTTGTAGTAACTGATGGTTTTGTTGGCTAACCTTGGTCGAAGTGCTTTACTGTTTACCATTGTTTGTATACCTGCATTGTCTAGGTATATGATATGCCTGCACGGTCCTTGTATGTTAAATACCTGCATTGTCTATAGACGCGATGAATTTAAAATTTGAATTCTCTAAACTGACTTTATCACTTAAGTCTTAGAAGGGCTGGTACAATTAGAAAGTTTTCTTTAAATTTTCTTAGTTGTACAGAGTATTTTGCCAAAGAAAACGATACAGGGGTGATACTGTCAGAGAAAACGATTTTCTTCCCCTTACGATCTTTTATCTCGTAAATTACGAGATATATCCACCATATAGCATTAATATTGTTATCTATATGTTTTTTCAGGTCATGAGAAGAGAAGGACATACACCATTAACACAGTTATAACGTAACATAATTTGGGGACTAACTGTTCCCTGCTCTCCCAACCCTGGTTCCAATATTTTTTTAATAAATTTTATTATTGTTTTTCCTTCGCTGAAAGACGTATCAAAATATATCGTTTTTATAAAATATTCATTTATATTATTTAAAATGCCTTCAGATGTAAATATGGATAAAAACTATGTATTTATAGAATTTCAGAAGACCGTGTCGATACTAGTCGGAGCGTGAATGAAAACAGAAGTCGAGCGAAACTAAGAAACTTTTTCAGATAAGGATTGTTTAAGGCTGACCATGGGCGTGTTAGGTGTGGCCGTATAGGATGCGGCCTCTAGCAAGATGTCTCGTGTAGGGGGAGGGGCGAGGACCAAGCCCAGGACCTCGCAGGACGTGTGTGCAGACTGTGGGGCGCCAGGTAAGACCTCCACCCCTCCCTCCTCTCTCAACCCAACCTTATTTACCTCCCATATATTACACCTATACAATATTTTAAAATAGATGCATATGGTCTTACTCAATCAGATATTTTAAATGTGTTATATCTATTCTAATCCTTGATAGTTGTCACAATAACTGGGTGACGTCTAAAGATACTTACCTGGCAGTTACATTTAATAAATTTGTTCAGGTAAAGGTGAGAACAGGGATGCCACATTATGTCTTTAAACTTATTGTTGATTTCTTCTCTGAGTGTTTCCTTATAGGGGAGGTGTGGTACAGGAGCCAGGTGTAAAGGTAACTGGAAGGTCCTTATAGGGGAGGTGTGGTGCAGGAGCCAGGTGTGAAGGTAACTGGAAGGTCCTTATAGGGGAGGTGTGGTGCAGGAGCCAGGTGTAAAGGTAACTGGAAGGTCCTTATAGGGAGGTGTGGTGCAGGAGCCAGGTGTAAAGGTAACTGGAAGGTCCTTATAGGGGAGGTGTGGTGCAGGAGCCAGGTGTGAAGGTAACTGGAAGGTCCTTATAGGGGAGGTGTGGTACAGGAGCCAGGTGTAAAGGTAACTGGAAGGTCCTTATAGGGGAGGTGTGGTGCAGGAGCCAGGTGTGAAGGTAACTGGAAGGTCCTTATAGGGGAGGTGTGGTGCAGGAGCCAGGTGTGAAGGTAACTGGAAGGTCCTTATAGGGGAGGTGTGGTACAGGAGCCAGGTGTGAAGGTAACTGGAAGGTCCTTATAGGGGAGGTGTGGTACAGGAGCCAGGTGTGAAGGTAACTGGAAGGTTAAGCAGAGGGTCGCCACTTATTTTCCGACGTTTTTAAATGGATCTCAATGAACGGTTTTGTATTAATAGCATCCATGTTAGACGAGAGAGACAGGAACCATTAGATTTAAACATGAATACAGTAAAACCTCTATTTAATTGGACTATATGAAGAAGAAAATCAGGGTCTGTTTGGTGTGAAACCTCCATCTAGCGAACAATATGCGGAGTAAAGTTCTTTGGGTAATGTATGAGAGCACTGTTACCACCAGAAGGAGTTGTTTGATTTGGTTAATTTTTTTTTACAGATGTTCTTATCATTATAGTAAGTATTTTAATAGAGGCGACATGTACTAGAACCTAATAGAACTTGAACTAACCAACCAAAGAAACCTACTTAACCTTACCTAATTTCCTAACCACCCCCGCCATATTAAACAGAAAGTACTTAATGTGTTTTGATATCTGGTACCAATGAAATCAACTTTGTCAAAGCATCATGGTGTAATTTACGTTTTATGTGGACTTGAGAATACTGTATGCTCGGACCGAGTGGGTTGGTTGTAAACAAACAGCGCAGATACCACCAGGCGCTGGCAACAGCAGATTACACAATGCCGCTTCAAGAAAGTGCCTTCATTGGTACCTGATATCAAAGTAAGTTAGGTCAGGTTATGATATGTTCTGTGCATTGTTGCTCAAATTTTCTTGTGTAGTATCATGCAAATAACATCTCCAGAAATTTTGGTACAATTCTATAAACTCCTTCGAGTACTAACCTTCTCCTTCACCATTACCTGCGTTAGGTTAGGTTAGCATAGTTGTCTTATCTAAAGGTAATCCCATAGATATTGTCGACTTTAATAGGCTTCACTCTTAATGGTAAGGTTAGCTAAGGTCTGTCTTGCACACAAAGATTGGGAGGTGAGCCTTATGTTACTGTACACATCTTTTTTCCAGATCCGGGCTGGGCATCAATAAACCGAGGTATACTAATCTGTGATGAGTGCTGCAGTGTACACAGGTCTCTTGGAAGACACATATCTCAAGTCAAGTCACTCAAGAAAGGAACATGGAATCCAACACAATATGCTGTGAGTTTTGTACTTGTGTTTTCTGCGGTGTTTTGAATGTGTTTACCTTAGTGTCTTAAGGGTGAATGGACATACTATGATTTTTTTTATTTTTTTTCTTAATTGGGCACTTCCCTACATCCTTGTGTAAGGTGAAGCACAGAAGCGTTTACAGTGCCCAACAGGGAAACATGCTAAGTTCATGCTTGCCTTTATGTCTCATGAGTTAAGGAAGTAAAAGACTGAAGAGTCAAGGGCATAGAAGCCTGAAGAGTCAATGGTTTATGTCATCAAGTTATTGGAAGCTCCAACAACTTGTCCCTGAATACGAATTCGCAACTTTCGATTTACACCAGGTACCTACTTTACTGCTAGGTGAACAGGGACTAATGGGGGCTAGGAAGAGTGTCCAAACAACTTCCACCGGCCCGGGAATCGAACCCGTGACATCTCGCTTGCGAAGGCAAGAGCGGTACCACTCTACCACCAGCACCCCCTCATACTATGAAAATTATTAAAAAGAGATAATCATTATAGTGCTGTACATGCCAGCTGTACAATATTTGCCCCACTGTTATATTTGAACTCTTATAATTACTGGTATGTCATATTATTTTCTCGTATAATAATACTTATTATTATTTTCATGATACAGATTAACTAAGATTTTATTGTTTTGGAGTAATACTCAAATATTTTTATTATACCACAGATGGTCCACACCTTATACAGCAGCGGTGCCAACAATATATGGGAGCACACACTGCTCGATCCCAGTGTTGCCAAGACGGGAAGACGCAAACCACATCCCAAGGACCCAGTTCAGTATGTACATGTGCTACAATATATGTCAGGAAGCTCATCTTGTAGAAAATAACTTAATATAATAAGTGTTTTACAGTTTAGTAATTTTAGCTTTCACTATTAGAGGATATACTGACTGCCTCAGTTTATTAACTTCAGATTTCAAATTCTTATATAGTACAGTACTGTCCCATCCTGCAGACTCCCCAATGGGATGTACTGTATGTCCTACAGGACTTCAAGCTCGTTTGCACCTCTCTTTTGGTAGCTGGCATCTGATTCTTGAGCTGGTTCAAACTATCATCAAGTTGCAAATGAGGGTTTGATCCAGAAAACCTATTTATAAGAGAAGCAGTGAGGAGTGTCCCATAATATTCTGATCACGGTGGTCTGATAAACACCCTTGGTGGCCTCTACTCTCTTATTTTGTTGCTACTGTTCACAGGATGAGTATGGAGTGCACAATTAACTAGCTGCTGTCTGCGGCAAATTAAAAAAAAATATTCATCACACTCGTGCCTTTAAGCAAACCGTAGCCTCTATACTCTGATCTATAACGACAGTTTTCAAGAGGGAGTGAGCTTTGAATTACCACTAGACACCATGGTCTAAAAATTTACTGGAGGAACACTGAAAAACCTTCTTTCCATATTCACTCTTCTCTGGGTTTGTTATAGAATAAGATACTGGATCAAACTCTCATTTCTCCCCACAGGCACAGGATCTGACAGGTGCAGATTTGATTTTCTTGTCGTAACTAACCTGTGGAAGCTTGGAAAATGACCATAAAACAATGGTGATATAACTTATGTACAATGCTTTAATCCTCCTGGTAGCTCCCTACTGCAGAAAACTTGTGGTGAACAAAGACTTTAGAGAGGATTCTGTATACGTATTTTATTTGAACATGGAAAACAGCATGCAATTGATCCTTCTTTAATTTTAGATGTACCAGTAATATTTGTGTGATATGTTTACGGTGATAATTTTTTTGAGTTATACTGTTACTTTTCTCATATAATTATTTTCTCTTTCCAGCCCAACCAAAGCTGACTTCATCAGGGCAAAACATCAGATGTTATCATTTGTATACAGACCTTCAAGGGATGATCCAAGCGGTAATGATGGGGATGTTAGTCGGCAGTTACATTCCAGTGTTCGAACTGCTAACTTAGAAACCTCACTGCGGTTGTTATCTCAAGGAGCTGATCCAAATTATTATCACAAGGTAGGAAGGTCACTGAAACTCTTACTTCCTATAAGTGTATAAGATAGTTGTGAAATAGATACACCTATTAAGATTTAACTGAGGAGGATTATGAGTCATGAAGTCTGGGTTTACTCCTATTATTCTATTAAAACTCTAAACCTAACTAACTTTTCTGTTTCTAAATCTGATTTATTCGTTACTACAGGAAAAAAGTTGTTGTCCTTTGCACGTTGCTGCTCGGGCTGGACAAGCATCCCAGGTGGAATTGTTAATAGTATATGGAGCTGACCCAGGAGCATTGGATTCCCAGGGCAACACACCTGCACACTATGCTAGGTACATATACTTTTTATATTAATTTCCTTCATTTATAGAACAAGATAAAGCAATTTTTCTCTGTTGGATTAATTTAAACATTAATGATATTTTGCTATAATTTGCTGTGTATACATTACAGATATTTGTAAATTAAGAGTTATGACTTATTATATTTCAGTCAGTCTTATGTGACTGTATATAACATTGACATGTTGACTAACAATATATTGAAAGGGATGTGGACTGATAATAATGATTGTGTACATCAGATTGAGGTGCTTAGGAAAAGGGACAGTTGGCCAAATAAATACACAGATGACCTGACAAGTATAGGGTAGGGTAACTGATCTGGTAATAATGTAAAGGTAAGGAGGAGGGGGATAGGGGAGGCCTCGTTTGAGTGACAGGTACGGTACGGGTATATCGTGTGTTTGGAAGCGAGGTTTCACACCGTTACCAGATATTTTGCCCAACCCTAAACTTGTTGGGTCTCTGTGAACTTATTTAACCGACTGTACAAGGTGCAGATAGAACATACATGATGGACAGTCAAATGGATTTTCTGTTGACTGGAAATACAAACATTAAAAGTTTCAAGGTAAATGAACAGAGTACAGCAGCTGTGTATGTCAGTGTACTGTACTGTATGATAATAAGCCATGATGGGTGAAGCTTTCTTTTTCTGAACGATATTATTCTTGAGACACTCCCTTCTGTATAATAAGAAAACCCACAAAGTAACTAATAGCTTGTAATAAATTTTTGTAGAATATGACTTGCATGTACTCCAGCCATGAGTTTTTTTAAATGATTATAAAAAATAAGTTTAATGTGTGGTAGAAGTACTAAGTCTCTATTTTTGTGGAATCAATTTTTTCTTCCTCCAGGGAATCTAACCATGTGGATTTGGCTGAACACTTGATAGAGTGTCAGTATGAGCTGACAGACAGATTGGCTTTCTACCTCTGTGGCCGAAAACCTGACCATGGCGTTGATCAGCACTGGATCATACCAGAAATGGCTGACTCCCTGGACATGTCAGATTTGGCCAAGGAAGCAAGAATCAAACTCCAGGGTTTACCAAATCACTTGTTTGAAGAGTTGGCTTGTGATGTCTATGATGAGGTATGTTTACAGTACAGTATTATAAAAGGAGAATGAAATAAATTTTGCTAAGTTGAAGTTAGAGAAAAATACTTACATACTGCACTATATTGTGCTAATTTTATATCTTAATGATCTGTATGTGTGATCTTTGCCTATGGTGAAGTAAATGATATTGGAACACACAAGATGCATTTGTTCACATTTTCATTTTTCTTTTATTTTGATGTTACATTTAGCACAATAAGTACATTACCTTTGAATAGTGTTCTAATTACTATACAGTACAAAAGAATAATTTTGTCGTGAAGATTATTATTCTTTCATATATGGCTGTGACTGTTGCAATGTGATTTCCTGAATATCATGGTTATCACTTCCACATTCATCATACAACAGTAACTTAATATACCTTTAAGTACCTTAACTTTGTCGGAATTTGTTTCTGTATGAAAAATGATGAAATACTTTTGCTATTATGCACAGTGGACCGTTGAGCAAGAGGTAGGAAAGATAACAAACCTAGAATACCCATTGGTAGAGCCTGCATTCTCCAGGTGCTCATAATTATCCCAAATGAATTGCAGCTGCTTGAAATGACACCAAATGAGTCACAGGTGTTCATAATGACTTCAGGTGACTTACAGCTGCACTTAATGATGCCAAGTACAGCTACTCATGCTTCATATCCTCCCTGCACCCATCTCCTGTTTTAGCTGCAACAGTAACAGAGTCTGGTATAAGATTCCTTGCATCCATAACACCTGTCTCTCTTAATGTGGAGTGTTATTTTTTTGCACTATGCATTAGCTTAAGACTGTACAGGTATTTCATTTTAAATACCACGAGTACTTTTAGTTTCTGAGTATTTTATTAGTACTGTAGACATGGATTAGGTTTTCACATATTTAGTATCATCGATCAGTGCAGTTTAGTTGGTACATATAAGGACAATATTTGGTGCCAAGAGCTCCAATAATTTTGTTTTGTACAGTATTTTATCTTCATATGCTGTGTATGCAGTTCACTTGCCTCTTCCCCTCGGCCATAAAATAGGATTTTATATTTCGGTCCCTCATTTTTTTTCTTTTCTTTACTTTCTTTTCATAGGTGGATCGACGTGAGACAGATTCCATTTGGTTGTCACTACAGAACCAGAGTGCTCTTGTGAGTGACCGCTGCACAGTACCTTTTCTTCCAGTCAACCCAGAGTACTCTTCAACCAGAAACCAAGGTCGACAAAAATTAGCTAGGTAATTTTACAATTTATTAGAATTGCTGTAGCTCTTGCATTGAAAGATATTATAAACTACATTAATAGAATTTCCAAAGCAGTTTGTAATGTACTGTATTGCCTTTGTGCATATTTGGTTAGAAACCTAATTTATATTATCATATAGCAAAGCCCTGCTATATCATAGTGATGTGTCCCAGTAGTTTTGGCATAGTAGCCAACTGCATAACTTGTAGACCTGAATTTCATGGAAAAAAACAAGGTTGTATTTTGAAACAAGGACGTCCTTGACACTGTTGACACTTGCATCCATTGGAAAATTTTAGTTTGTCCATGGATAACAAGCAAATTTTGTCTCAACAGGTATTGGATTAATGTAACTACATACAGACTGTGTAAATATTGTTCACCCCAATCTGGTCAATCCACATTGAAAATTTATATTGGTGCATGTTCCACAATATGAGATGTAATGAAAATCATCACCAAATGGACTGGTATCTGGGTAACTGTGTGTGTGTGTGTGGAGGGGATAGCTATGGGAATAAGTGCTGGTGGGATGCAGAGGGAAGTGGACGGCGGTATGGAGCTTAATGGATGGGGATTCATGAGATCGTGTGTGGGGGTGATTGGGCACAGGTTTGAGTTGGGTTTTTAAGAATGGGTGTGGGGAGTAGGGGTGAATGTGGAGATGGGTGGGTAAGTGTTTAGATGGTGGTGTTGGAATGGGTGAGTGTGTTGTGGGATGTGAGTGAAAAGTGTAAGACTGAAGTAGGAGTTTCTGGTCATGTCTGGTAGCGACATAACTCAAGTAGGCTCAGTCTGACGAGAAGTATCAAATAACAGCTCTGGTAATTCCTGTTCTTATGAATTGTTCATTCTCACTACAGCATATCACACTGACCTAATGTTTTCATTTAGTACATTACTGTATAATGTACTGGTACTCATTTAGTCATTAATAAAATTATCTTTGTAGTTATATTTATTATACTGTACTGTATGTGGAACTTATTTTCACATCATTGGCAGTTTGTTTTGTTCTGTCATCTTACAAGAGTGGCAAAAGATTATGTTGTGGGTGGCAGTGTGGGAGGTTATGCTGTGAGTGATGTATAGGAAGGATCACTGCTGCCTCTATACTTTAATAATGGTGAAGAATCTTTAGAAAGATTTTGTATGCAAGAGACTGTTCAGCTTGGAGAACTGCCATCAGGTAACACTGTAATGGTAAACCCATGCAAGCAGGAAAAGAACTGTGTAAAAAGATGATCATATTAGCCTCTTGACTGGTGCATAGTGAATGTACAGGTATTTAGTTAAGGTAGACCGAGTGTAAATTTTTCTTTTTTGAGGGGGGACAATTTTTGTGGTTTAGCAGTATGGTACATTCTTATATCTTAAGTTATGAGGAATAATCATCATACAGATATTTGAGAATCTAGACTCATGTCGTGTGGCAGGCATATTTGTTTTGTTGTTTCCACCATTTACCTGTTTAATCATCTTAATATTAATAATTTTCAAATACTGTACCTCAGTAAACACAGCTAGAATTTTCAGCTGATATTTCCACAATTAACTATGGCTGAAGTGGCCACAGATACTGTTCTGATAACCAAAATGTCTGCAGTTAGCTATTGCCAAAATATGCATAGTTAATATCCACAGTTGGGCAAGAGGGTGCCTAACCTTCACTGACCTGCCACAGACTGCAGTAATTGAAGGTCCTGAATGTTTGACAAAAGTGTGTTTTCCAATTACAGTACTTTGCAGTGAAATGGCAAACCATGAGACTCACAGCTGTGATATAGCGGAGGTTTACGTATAATTGTTACCCCGGTGAACTTTATTCTTAGCATCATTGTAATTTTTCACAAGCTGCACTAGGTTTGTCAATAAACAAGATTGTGCTTTTGTCATAACGTAATTTTAATTTTAGTAATAAAGACCTAATGTAATGAAAATATACCTTTCACAGATTTAATGCAAGAGAGTTTGCCACTTTAATTATTGATGTTTTGTCTGATGCTAAGAGACGTCAGTCAGGGATCTCGTCTCCTTGTGCAACTCCCAAAGATAAAGGTATGTGGACGAAGGATTGTGTTTTGTGACTCGAGTTGTGTCGTTTATTGTAACTAAGGTTGATCTGTGTTTTTTTGGTTGGGTAGTAAAAGATGTGAAAGCAAGATTAATGAAGAGAAAAGCAAGTGGGAAGTGATTCTACTACTGTTTACAGATCACTCAATGTTGGGGGATTCAGAAGAATTGTAAATGTTAGTGTAAGAGTTTAAAAGAGCGTGTAGTCAGTCAAATAAGGTACCATGCTTGTGTCTGGGGGTTGGCGACCATTGCCCTCCATCTTAAACATTTTTAGACTTTCTTTGTTGGTCTTCTAAGATTTTGCATCTGTTTATGGATTCTGATTTTAATTTAATTCATTCTTCATAGTTTCTGCTGTTCCCAGGCTCTCTTACCCCCCGTTTATCCATTGATATCAACTATTACTTCCTCATTCCTATTTATGTGGCTAAATTACCTCTTTTTTTTCCCTTATTCATAAATTTCTAGTACTACAGTGTTTCACTTATCTCAACTTATCTTAACATTCTACTGGAACAACAGTGTTTTGGCTTCTGATTTTTCATTTACCAAGTTTTTGTCCTGAGTGAGATGAGGATGGCAGCCTGGTTTCCTTAGTTGCATGCACTCTGAAAAATATTATCATCGTAAATTATTTTATTTCATTCATAATTCATTGCCATTGTAAACTCCATATTTAAATTATAAAAGTCATCCTATCCTATCTTATTAGTATATGACCCATATTCAGTTTTTAAATTCCAGCTTTTCTTAAAACATCCTGTGCTTAGGATGAAATACTGTACAAAAATCCAATATTCAAAAGCATGTGGGAACATTTAAACACTGGCACTAAGGGTTCTGGGTAGCTGGACATTGAATGCAGCACTAGCCATAGCTTTTGGAAGCAACAAGGTCTACGATGGTTAAATTCTCAATAAGATTATGATATCTAGAACCTGATTTAATTTGAAGGTAATCATTCTACTCACAGTACTGGATACTTGAGAGAGCCTGTTAGTTAAAGAGTACAGTACAGTATACAGTGCAGTACTATAGTATATTATAGTTTTTGATGTAATGTCTTGTTATAATGATCCTTTGTTATGTCTGCGTTAGAGAAGCACATCGTTGTACTGTATTTTGATAACTCTCTTACATTTATGTTGTAAAAGTTTGAAACATGTGCAGTGCTTTATTATTTTTGTATCCAAGTACTGTAGATGAAACTTGGTGGTGTTTAATTTATTTTGATTGCTTATTAGTCATTTTATTCTTGAATTTATTTTTTTTATCTTTTAGATTAGTGTATTGAGAATCTATTGTGAAACCTTCCTCATTGTGTGCTCTTTCTTCCCGCTAGCAGTAACCACAGCTGTCCAGAGGGCTGACAGGGCACGGGACCCCTTCCTCGCCTGTCCCTCTCCTACACACCTGTTCACCAATCCTGAGGATCACTCCCTGCCTTCTGCTTTGTCTCTTTCCTCTGATACCTTAGCATCTGGTGTGTCTGCTCCCTCTGGTGTCCATTTTAGTGATTCTTATCCCTCTGTCACATCCACTAACGGTGTAGGTTATGGAGCTTTACTACTTACCCAGAATAACCCACTCTATCGCTCTTATGATGAGGTGAATGGATCCCTTGAAGATGTTACTGGTGGCAGTTACGAGCAAGACTCCCTTGACGGTGGCGGGGTTGATGATGGAGAAGCCGATGTTGATAGTAGTGATTATGACGATGATGAACGACAAACTGAGGGTTGTTTAGGAGAGTTGCTAACTAGTCATTGGACACCATTTTCACATCATGGAAATTATTCTAAAAGTCAACATGAAGGTAGGCAGGATAGCACCAAGTGTGAACCCACTAAACCTCTTGGAAGAAAATATTCAAGTGGATTTAGTAGCAACAGTGATTTGTCTGATGAAGGTGATCAGTTTGCCGATTATGATGAAGTTTATGATCCAACCACTAGTCAGTTTGCAGCTCAGCTCTCGAAGTCTCTTAAAGAGAAGTTACTTAACCCTAAACAAAGTCAGGAAGATGAAGTGCATCAGAAGTGGAAAGCTTGTGCTTCAGCTCTTCCACCAACAACTCCCTCTAAGGCAGGAGCAGGAGCGCGGTCGTTATTGGTACGAACTCTCACCATGCCCCTCAAATATGCTGCTCAGCACAGACACAGCCTTACCAAAGTGTTCTCCCGTTCTCAGCCAAGCACTCCTGAGCTCCCTCGTAGAAGTCAGGTAACAAGAAGCTACGTGAAGCCAGACCAAATTAATCGAAATTTAGTCAATTCTCCTTGGAATGTTGATACTCATAAGTTTAGAGGATTCCTGGAGAACACAGCACAGGGGGTAAAAGGTCCTCAAGACAAAAAAAAGCCATCGCAGGGGAGGAAGAGCCCATCGGGGAAACCCCCAAAACCTCCCACTCCACATCATAAACCAGTGACCCGGAAAACCTCTACTCTGAGTCGCCAAGCCTCTTTTAAAAACCCCTTCCCCGGTCAGGTGACAAGGTCTCCTCCCCCTAATGCTCTGGATAGTTGGCCCGCAGAGCCCTGTAATAACCCCATTCTTGAGCCGTGTGTAACTTGTGCTCGTAATGTAGCGGCAAACATCCAACATGCATCAATATGGGGAGAGATAGAGAATCTTCCTCGAGGTTATATATCTAATATAGAGGAAAATAAAATGGTACCCTATAAACGAAAACCCCCAAAAGATGATTGCAAGTTGCAGTGAATTAGCATTGTAAAGCATAGAGTGCAAAGTTCTGATATACTGTACAGTGCAAAGCTATATTGTAGCTCGCAGATAACCCCCTAACAACTAACCTCGTGTTGATTATATACGATGCCACATTAACACGATAATGCTGTACTGCAACTGTGTGTAGTTATTTATGCCTGTGGACACTTACTCACCCTGTATGAAAAACAAAACAAAAACATTTGTGTGGATAAGTTTATTAACTGATTGAAATATTAACCCTCTTCTGTGTGGATCATTTTGCTCATGCTTTTGTTGTGTTGTTTCAGGTGGTGGTGTTTGGGGGAGTTAGTGTTGTGCTTTGTTTATGTCATTCTTAATATGTCTTGAGCCAGATTATAGACTTTTACAATGATTTCAGCATGTTGTAAACAATGTGGCATTAACCAATTTCTTTTCTCTTCTTCTCTTTCTAGACTTGGGTGACGTGACGTTGACACTGCCTAACTCTCCCAAAGTAAACCTCCACAACAACAACAACATGAGCTTAAATGCAAGATTAATAACTCCCCCAACATCAGTGACTGCATCTGTTAACTATTCCCCTGTGTTAGTAAACAAGGACCCACAACATTTAAGACAAGTAATAAATTCCGTAACTTCTATTTCGTCTAGTGCAAGCCTCATCAATCCTTCTGCTACAGACTCCTCAGGCACATCCTCTAGCACAGGGCTATCCACTAATGCTGTCACAGATACTTCCTCTTGCACATCAAGCACGGGTCTCATCACCTCTGCTATCACAGACATCCCATCAGGCCCATCTTCACTTACCTTCAATAATACCATAACTGCCAACAACAACAACAAAGGTGAAATGACAGATGACGGGGAACCCCTGTACGACTCTGTGGCATCTGAAGATGACTACTCGTGTTTGGAACAAAACCAGAAGCTGGAACAACAAAAACAGATTTTGGAAGAACAGAGACGACAGCATCAACTAGACGAGCTTGTAAGTACAGTATTAATTATTGTTGCTTAATTGAAACTAAAGCTGCAGAATATATATCTAAGATTAATTTAGCTAGTATTTAAAGGTCAACAAACTTTTACTGAACTCTTATCATATTTCCTCTTGTGTTGAATAGCTACACATTAAACATTCTACTCTTCAGTTATACCACAGATAAGGTGGATTGGTTACTTAGCTGGAGTGCTGTACATATGCAGTATCTTCAGAAATTTTAAGTGATTCTTCTTCTTGAAAAATAAAATAATCCAGACTCAGGGTGAAATGAGAGTGAAACTTTGGGAGTACAGGTACAGGAATTGGAACCAGAAGTAACACTGGTGAGTTTCTTTATTCTCCTCCGAGTATACACATACTCCCCTCACTATACAGGTAGTTGGGAATGCATTAAGAATGTTTTCAATTTGTTATGTGTCTGAATGTCAATGTGGGTATTAAATACAAGTCTCTCTCAAAGTTCGAGGCGGCGTCAGGAAGGTTAGCAGTTAATTTGGGGGAATTTTTCTCTACTTTAGGATCTGGTCCCTAACTATTGAATTGTTTGGGATAATTTGATGAAACTTCACAGGAGTATATGTTTAAAAAAGACAAACGGTAGATAAGTTCAAGTCTAAATCAGAGATTAAGGTCATAGTTGAAGGTCAGATTTTTTAAATGTTGTGTGTGGTCCATAAGTGTTGAGCCAAGAGGTGTACAGTATCAATGAAAGTTCACCTGGATGTTTAGTGTTATTAGACAAAGGACATAATGCCAAATTCAAGTTAGTATCAGAGGTTAAGATCACAGATGACAGTACAGTACAGTACAATATTAGCACAATGAGTAATGCAGTCCTGCCTTTTTTATTTCTTTAGTGTAGTTAGAGACACGTTGCTTTGGTCTTCTCCATGTTTGTCTCATGTTAGTTTGTTTTTGTTTGTTTTTTCAAAGAGAATGGCTGATAGGCTTGTTGTACATTATTATTTCAGTTTTTTTTTATACCGCGGTTTTCCACATTTGTGATGATTTTTTGTTTTGTTTTAATCTGTATAGTTATCATAAATGACTATGTATCCATTTTGTATTTTTTGTGCTGGAATATTTGGATTTAACACTCTTGGGGCACCACAGAAAGGCAGTCATGCAGAAAATTGAATCACACACCTCAGTGTTTTTATATTATTATCTTCATGACTGTAATGCCTTTACTACTTGCATCAGACAGAATCATGTAATGCACCTTAAAGTTGTGTAAGTTTGAGCAACATTGGCCAGTTGACAAGGATGTGGTGGTGTTTGCCCTTAAGCCACAATGGCTGCCCCACCCACCCACCTCATTACTTATGCTGCTCACCAGCCCCACCACACAACTGGCTCAGGTTGTTGTTGCTGCTTGGCCATGGCTGTGTCAGTTTGTGTGTGGAAAAAGCAAGTTGTAGTTTTTGTTGCACTTGTTGAAGAGATTGATGATGTCATTGAAGTTGAAAGTTCAATTTGTGTGAAAATGACAAAGTATTTTGTAAGTACTGCATGGTGAGATTCTCTCCTGATATTTGAGGTCTCTTCTGTCTTCTATAAATATTATTATTTTTTTTAGAAGTAAAGACATTAGTTAACAAGAAAACAATTAAGCAGGTTTGAATATGAAGTTGCATGACGTGAATATTAATGAAGCAGCCTGTGTGGTGTTGACTACCTCTATATGATGAAGGAATTTACTTCCACAATTGATCATATTCTTTGTATTTCATTAACTATACTTTCTTCCTCCAGTATTAAAAATCCTTGAGTAATAAGAGAAAACCATATTTTTGTTTGTGTATATTTCCACCAGTATTTGTCTTTGGCTCATCGTAGCACTGATTATATTTGTGGGGGGAAGTAAAGTTTCTGTTGTTATAATAGATATGTCTCTTGTCTGTTAGTGTGGACAGTAATACAATTAATTTTATTTATATTTTATGATTTTTTTTTTGTGTACGTATAGGACCAGGGCCTCTTACAACATCTTGGATAGTAGTGAATTATACAGTATTGGTGAGCAACATTCTTCACTGATCATTAGGCCAGTTCAGTCATCTCATGGTGTCCAGTATTACAATATGCAACTTTTTTGTGAATTCTAGTAAAACCTCATATATCCAGATTAATTGATGCAGACAGAGTTCTTGTTGTGAATTTTTTTTTTAATGGCTATATGAGCAAATCACTTTAAAAGGAAGCTACACTTACCAGAAAACATGGAAGTGGTCTGCTCAGGTAGCCACTAACCTGTGGGATGTTACCCAAGTGGTTATTAAACTGGTTTGTAGCCACTGACCAATAGGGTGTCACCTAAGTTGCCACTAACCTGTTATGTGTCCCCCAGGTAACCACTTAACTGCAGTGTGTCCCCCAGGGAGGCACTAAACTGTGTTGTGTTGGCCAGGGAGACACTGTGTTGTGTTGGCCAGGGAGACTAAACTGAAGACCATAAACTGTGTTGTGTTGGCCAGGAAGACCATAAACTGTGTTGTGTTGTGAGGAGACACTAAGCTGTGTTGTGTTGGCCAGGGAGACACTAAGCTGTGTTGTGTTGGCCAGGAGACACTAAACTGTGTTGTGTTGGCCAGGAAGGCACTAAACTGTGTTGTGTTGGCCAGGGAGACTAAGCTGTTTTGTGTTGGCCAGGAAGACCCTAAACTGTGTTGTGTTGGCCAGGAGACACTAAACTGTGTTGTGTTGGCCAGGGAGACACTAGCTGTGTTGTGTTGGCCAGGGAGACACTAAGCTGTTTTGTGTGGCCAGGAAGACCCTAAACTGTGTTGTGTTGGCCAGGAGACACTAAACTGTGTTGTGTTGGCCAGGAGACCCTAAACTGTGTTGTGTTGGCCAGGAGACACTAAACTGTGTTGTGTTGGCCAGGAGACACTAAACGTGTTGTGTTGGCCAGGGAGACACTAAACTGTGTTGTGTTGGCCAGGGGACACTAAACTGTGTTGTGTTGGCCAGGGAGACACTAAACTGTGTTGTGTTGGCCAGGGGAGACACTAAACTGTGTTGTGTTGGCCAGGAGACACTAAACTGTGTTGTGTTGGCCAGGAAGACCCTAAACTGTGTTGTGTTGGCCAGGGAGACACTAAACTGTGTTGTGTTGGCCAGGAGACACTAAACTGTGTTGTGTTGGCGGGGAGACACTAAACTGTGTTGTGTTGGCCATGAAGACCATAAACTGTGTTGTGTTGGCCACGAAGACCATAAACTGTGTTTGGCCAGGAAGACCCTAAACTGTGTTGTGTTGAAGGAGACACTAACTGTGTTGTGTTGGCCAGGAAGACCCTAAACTGTGTTGTGTTGGCCAGGGAGACACTAAACTGTGTTGTGTTGGCCAGGGGCCCTAAACTGTGTTGTGTTGGCCAGGGAGACACTAAACTGTGTTGTGTTGGCCATGAAGACCATAAACTGTGTTGTGTTGGCCAGGAAGACCCTAAACTGTGTTGTGTTGCCAGGAAAACTGTGTTGTGTTGGCCAGGGAGACACTAAACTGTGTTGTGTTGGCCAGGGAGACACTAAGCTGTTTTGTGTTGGCCAGGAAGACCTAAACTGTGTTGTGTTGGCCAGGGAGGTAAGCTAAACTGTGTTGTGTTGGCCAGGGAGACACTAAACTGTGTTGTGTTGGCCAGGGGAGACTAAACTGTGTTGTGTTGGCCAGGAAGACCTAAACTAAACTGTGTTGTGTTGGCCAGGAAGACAGGAGACACTAAACTGTGTTGTGTTGGCCAGGGAGACACTAAACTGTGTTGTGTTGGCCAGGGGACACTAAACTGTTGTGTTGGCCAGGAAGACCCTAAACTGTGTTGTGTTGGCCAGGGAGACACTAAACTGTGTTGTGTTGGCCAGGGGAGACCACTAAACTGTGTTGTGTTGTAGGAGAAGACCCTAAACTGTGTTGTGTTGGCCAGGGAGACACTAAGCTGTGTTGTGTTGGCCATGAAGACCATAAACTGTGTTGTGTTGGCCAGGGAGACCCTAAACTGTGTTGTGTTGGCCATGAAGACCATAAACTGTGTTGTGTTGGCCAGGAAGACCATAAACTGTGTTGTGTTGGCCAGGAAGACCATAAACTGTGTTGTGTTGGCCAGGGAGACACTAAACTGTGTTGTGTTGGCCAGGAAGACCATAAACTGAGTTGTGTTACACAAGGGGACACTAGACTGGTGTATCCCCCATATAAGCATTAAAATATAGCAAGTTCCTAGGTAGCTGCTCAGCTGTGATGTGTAAATTAAAACCAAACCAAAAACATTTGATGCTTGCCATACATGCAGAGAACTGATGCTGGGTAGTGAGGAGACGTGGGTGCGATCATGGTAGCAATTGTTGTGTGTATGTCCCTGCAACAGACTCTGCCCTGAGGGATTGTACTAAGATTCATCCTCCAGGAGACTTTCAGGAAGCCAGTCTATTATTGTTACTCAATAATTGTCATAGGATTGTTTTGAGCCATTGAGAGTGGCCCATCCTAAGCCTAGGCTTGTTACAAAAAAATACTAATACTTCCCCATCTTTTCAAAAGCTTCTAACTTTTATTCTTCAACACAAACACTTGATCCACATCACCTCTCTCAATCTTAAACCTACACTAATACTTTCCTGGTTTGTGTTATAATTCTGCCATTAATAATACTGTACTAACCTTTCTCTGGTGCCTTCAATCAATGTTTTCCTCTTAATTTCCACATTAACTCTTACCACCTTTACTTTATACACAGGAACTATACGTGCTCTGTACCATTGCCTCGATGCCCTCCCTCCCATGCATAGCCTGTACTCTCTTGCCATATAGTGTGTATGTGTGTCTGCTCTATCTCTTATCCTTAAAATTTCAACTGTGTTTCCATCCAATCATGTTGAGTTTACTTAAAACCTGTCTCCCCTCCTCCCTCTGTCGTACTTTCTGCTCTTGTTTTGATTTTCTTTAGTTCACCATCTTTTAAGTCAGATAATTCTGTCTCATTCATCTGATGCTTATATTATACAGTATTTATAATGCTTTATTTATTTCAGTATTATGTTATGGTACATTAGGTTGATGTGGTGATTCATTAAAGTGTTGTTCAGTGGTGTACCATTGTTATACATAGAAGATAATGGATAACAATGGCTATATTGTGTATTTGCAGTACAGTGGACCAAACAGTGAGGTGGGGTCAGGGATGGAGTCAGCAGTGAGCCTAGAAGCTTATTTGGAGATGAAGGAGAAACTAGAGTCCAGTGAAGCTCGGATACAGGAGTTACAGAACAACAATGCCCACATGCGCTCCCAGCTTGATGAACTTAGCTCCACTGTGAGTAAAAGGTTATTGGGTTTTCTTGCATCTGTACTTTTTTTTTCCTTTTTAACCAGTTAGAAACTTCGCCTACAGCTGCCGTGACCTAATGAAACTTGGGAACATGTGCCAGTGTGATTATTATTATTTTTACCCAGCATGACTCTCTCCTTTACTTTGGTTTTACGTAACAATATCAGAGAGAGTGTGCATGTGTGTGTGTGTGTGTGCGTGCGTGCGTGTGTGCATTCAGATATTCTAGCTTCCCTTAATTAACATTGGGTGGTAAGTAAATGACACCATCAACAAGGTTGTAGTGACCTGAACTGGTATTATTTCTCTTGATAGTTACCCAGTGTCGTAAACAATACTGGACAGCTTAAACTCAATAATTATAGGACTAGTGCGTTATCCACTGAACCAAAGTAGAGACACATTGTATGTTTTTGAATATGCATGTGTGTATGCCCATTGATATGTGTATATTTTGGCAAAATAAAATCTGTTGACCTCTCTGCTACTTCATTGAACATGTGGCATTAAAATCATATTCTCTACAGTACAGTATACAGCAATATACTTAAGGATCTGAAACATGCAGTTCTTATAATTATTTCCAATCTGACACGTTGCACTAAGTGGAAATTTAGATACTCGGTGATAGAGAGGCTGTCCCAACCCATTGTCCTCAGCCAGATGGACATCATATCCCCCACATCTCTTTTATGTGTACTTTGTGTATCCATGCATGTAGCTTTGAAGTTTTTATCCTTTATTTTTTGTAACTTTACTTAGTGTAATGGAAGAGCCAGTTAAAGATAATTTAGGCATAAAATATTTGCTGATTATATCATTAATCTCACCACAACTTCAAATAATAGGGGTTCAAGCCTTTCCAGGTTTAGGAGGATTTTGATTTGGTTGAATTTTGCAAATATTTAGTTATGCACTTTATAAATCATTAGAAATAAGTCATAATTATGCATCAACAAAATCAAATAACCAATTAAAAAAGAGTGTTTTCACGATAAATCTTCAGAGTACAATGGTGTTTGCGACAACTCTAGGCAGGAGTGGAAATCACACACACACACATGTACAGTACAAGTATTCATCCGGAAATGAGGACACTGGTTCTTAATCTACAGTAAATCCAACCGTTCGTACAGTAATTATATTGAATTAGTTTATATATGAATACTGTATAGTGAGTCATTGGTAATACTGTACTTTATATTAAAAATCCCATACTTTACATTATTTTGTTGACAGCTGCATTTTGATCATATCTTAACCACATTATAATAAAATTACATAAGTTATAGTTTATAAATTGTAGAATGATCAATCAGAATGGTTATATATTAAAAACAGTGGGTAATTATGTGTTAGAATATTTCTTCTAATTTCAATTACTGTATTAGGAATTACTAAAGTAGGAAGAATTCCATACTTGGGAATGCCATATATCAATTTACTGATGGAATGATTATTATCTGCCACTAGTAATATGGATGTAGAGGTTTACATGCTTGTCTTGCAAGTGAAGAGACCTAGATTCAGATTATTGGGCAGGATGGAGCTAGAGTATGTTTCATTATGTGTTTTGCCACTTAATTGTTAATGCATTAGCCAGAGTAGTCGATGAGTTGTCAGGTCTTCGTGGGTTCTCAAATGACAATGGGTTACACGTCATGCCAACTAAGATCTGGTTGTTGTGTTGGTGGCAGCTTTTACACTGTAAACAAATAGCTTCAATGTCCTTAAGACCAACCATCCTCATTAGTGAGGGACAGACTATTACCGATAATTTCTAATAATAAGAGAATGATTTAGTGTTTATAAGGAAAGAGAAGATAGTTACAAATTTCCTATTTGATATGAGGATGATGAAATGGTTACATTCTCCAGATTACTACTTGTAACGGTGAGTTAATTTGGCTTTTCACCAGTCTTCAGTTAAACTTGGGGTTTCAATAAGTTCAAACATGTCCTAATTCTCCTGCAAGAGAAAGGGGGACAGGGAGTGGGGTCAAGTTTTACCAGAGAGATTAAGCCTCATGTTTTTCATGAATGTTAGTGATAAATTAAATACAGACTGACTAATTACCTTACTAGAAATATATTAATGCTGTAAGAAAACCATCAGCCCATTACAGGTGACAAAGAATATGACTGAGGAAGTTTTGTCTTGTACGTACTTGACATGTTAACTCTTTACTGGTGGCTTAGAGTTTCCTACTCTATCTCCCCTTATGCGCAAGGAACATGAAACATCCACTGTTGCTAGCCGCTGTCCCTACACCTAACTTCCACTACTGATTGCCGCCATCCCTACAGCTAACTTCCACTGGTGATGGCTGCCATTTTAAGAGATATAAGTGTACAGTGTAGTCTATTCTGGTATGCAGTACAGGTACTGTACAAAGTTATTTATATACTGTACAGATTTCTTAGTTGGCAAACAATTGCATATACTGTACAGACTATTGAGGCAGAGAAACCATTAAAGGGGTGCTTCCTGTTTGAGATGTTTTACTGACATGTCACATGGTTTCCATTTCATTCCTAAGCTTATATAGAATCTTGGTCACTCATTGAGGACCCATAGGCCATAAATGAAATTTTAATTCCCTTGCTTTTGCTGAGGGAATTAAATGAGTGACCTAGTTTTCTTTCCTTCTCCCTTAATAAATGGTTATAAATTCATGGAAACTGAGAGGGTTAAGGTATAAACTATTTTTCTGACTGAATATGCAAACCAGGCTGACAGTTTTCAACAACTGAACTGAAGCTTCACTTGTCTTTGAGAAAACCACAAGATCAAAGGTTTGAAACCTAGATTTGACCAGGTGAAGGACTTCTTGCTGCACAAATATTGCCACATGGGTAGTGTACCCTGGCAATACAAGTCCAACCCAGATTCTGCTAGGGATGTGTTGAGAAGGTGGGTATCACAGGCCATTTACAGTAGTTTGTCCACTTCACTATAAAATGGGATGTATGCTTCAATTTTTCATTTGGGGAAGAACCTGGATGGGGAACACGGTAAAAGTTCAAAATACACCGTCATTTTGCCTGCTTGCCTCTTTCGTATTTGTTTTTTATTTGTAGTAAGTTTGTTTTCCTTATTAATGTTTAATTTCCATTGGGTGGGGGTTAATAAGAGATACAGTATACTGGTAGTCTTGTCTTATGTGCATTTATTTTGTGTTGGGTGAGATTTATTAAGAGGCTCTGGTGGTCTTGTTCTATAATTACTAAGGCATGCTGTTGTTTTAGTCTTAATATGGGTACTGTACTGTGGCTGTGTGTCTTGTTGGTGCTATTTGAAATACATTTTATTTTGTTTCTTGTTTTTTTTATTCCTTTTTTTATAGATGAACCAAAATTACTATTTTTAGGTCTTGGTTTTTGCTTGTTAACTGACAGAAACCAGAGTGTCATCGCAGTCATAATAAAATACTAAAAGTGGGACCATTATAACTCCTTCCTCCTGGCTTCTTAATGGTGAAGGTTTGCATGTAGTGGCTTTTTCTTACATGATAATGTGATTCTTGCTTTCTTTAGGTGCGTAAACTGATTCGTGAGAGATCGTACCTCCAGTCAGCGTCACCTCAGCGCAAAGTTAGTGTTGTTTCTTTTCCCGTAGTCTCTCATTTTTTTATTTTGATATTAGCAAATCCTATGTCTGTTTTGCATGGAGGTCAACCCTGCCTCTGCATCACTCGTATTATCTGGCTTCACACTCACTCAGTAAAATTGGGTCCCAACTTCTAGAAAAACACTTTGGTAATAGAGAATTATACATGAATTTAGCTTTGTGCCTTATTAGTAATTATTTATCTCTTAATAGTTCCTAGCTAATTAAACTTTCTTCATAATATTACATTTTAACCATTTCTATATCTTTAAATATCTTGTCAAAAACTTGTACTGTACTGTACCTGTATTCTTTCTTGGCTGTAGTGCTTCTCTTTATCTAGTGAGTCTTTTAAGACAGTTAAGTAATATGAGGTGTAATGAAAAAACATTATTGGAATTTATTTGATGTGAAAACAAACACCGTCCCACAACTGCCGTCAGTCTAAAGGAAAGTGGTTTCAGTTAGTATTGTACTTACTTCTTGGTGCTAAATAATTTATCGCTGCTTTATTTGTTGACCGCTCCCTCCCCTCCCGCTCTCCTGGACCAAAAAACAATCACAATAATTGGCTCAATAAATAAAAAGCTCAGTATGTGCCTTATTTTACTTAAATAGTCTTTAACTAGTAATATGCTGCTTTATAAGTTTAGAAGTAATCTTAAGCAATTCATTAACAGCAGGACCTTGCATCCATAGTCTGCAGCTGCAGAATAGTCAAAAGACTTGTAAAATGCAGGATTCCTATTACCAATATTTATAAGAGCTTATGTAATGGTATATTTAGTCATAAATATGTGGTGTCTCCAGCTAATTATCTGTGCATTCATCATTACTTAATGTAAATACAAAAAATAATTATTTATACATACATTCACTCATAATACCCTGTACAGTAAACTCCCCCAAAATATGTTCCTTTTAATACATATTGATATCAAAAAGACAAAGTTAAAGATTTGTTTGTTATTTTCAGTTCATATTACAGTTAACAATTTCATCTTGGCAATATAAGGTGTGACACTGAATGAGAGAGAGTTTATTTCTCTTGGTTCTGGCTATCCTGCACCATTATGGGGAAGGGTTGGCAAGTATGAGGAATAACTATATGCAGACAAACCTGGTGGTAAGTACACTAAGGTCTACATAAACAATGAAGGAAGATGTGCGTATAAGCAATTAATCAGTAATAGGAAAAGTTATAGTTTGTGTAATGGAATATGGGATTAATGTTTCCGAGTAAAAAAATTAAATGTGCATTTTCTTGATTTTAGAACAAGGTTCCTCAGTAGTACAGTAAGTATATATATTATGTACCTAAGTATCTCAACTTATGAATTTGACAAATGTGTTTTATCTATATTTTATCTGTTAAATTTTTAGTGTCAAAGTTTCTTACGAGAACCAAGTGTCCAAACACCACCTGGTAGGTTTAAGGTCCTCGTTTTCTTAGGCATCTGAAAGGGAAATTGTACTGTACCTTCCTGTGGAGGTTATTTCTGAGTAGTTTATACTGTTAATATGGCTTCTTGAGAACTTTCGTGAAAATAGAAGGGATTTTTCACCCAAAGTTGTTATTTTGGAGCAGAGATTTCTCTTTGGGAAATGTAGGAACTTAAGTTTCATCAGTTTGTAGAAGCTGTGGATTTCATGAATTAACCTCTGGTCTGTTTCTGGATGAGGCTCTGGACTTCAGTGAATCATTATCCTGGGAAAATCTGGGATAAAATTAAACTTGTTTGTAAGTGAATTGGGAAGCACAGACTCAGCCCAATGTATACAATGGATCAACTTTCTTTGGAAGTTTTTGGTTGTCCAGTCTCGAAACAGTTTTATCAATTCCCTCCTCTCTTTTGTATTAGATGGCTTTGTAATGCAAGAGCCAACTGACTCGAGGGCTAATTACCAGAAATGGAGGATTGGTACTGAAGTTGTTTTAACAGGTGGAGCTCAATAGAATTCAGCTCAGTGCCCCTCCTGCCTTCTTAGGGTCTGTACTTAGTCAGCTGAAACTCGACATGTGACTAGTTGTCTTGGCTTGTACTCGTTCAGATTTACCGGTGGATTCATAGATGGTGGGGCCTCAGCTGTGGCATACAGAAGTCATAGTTCTGATTAGTTGGTTGCCTATGTGTCTACAGGTGATTTGATGTAGACCATAGGTTTTCAGGAGTAATAAGATAGCTTTGATACTAGTTATTTGAGATACATATTTTCAGATTCTTGTGAATTAAAGATTGCTCCGAGATTCGTGACGGGATTATTGGAACTCAAGTTTGAGCTCCTGCGTGAAATCTTGAGTGTCTTCTGCCGAGATGAATTGGTTTGTTTGTGAAAATTATGATAATTTCTATTTGTAAAGAGAAAATCTAATCTCTAAAAAAAATTTAGGTTTTAGGAATTCGGTACTGTATAATACAGTACATTACTGTAATGTATCAGTATTATTGCTACTGTTATCATTAGTAGTATTCTATAACTAATATGATCACCGTAGTGTTGTCATTAATGCTACTTTTATGATTAAAGTTTGTGATAATTCTAGAACACCATGATTTGCATACAATATAACATATGTTTGTTTTTAATATTTTACACAGGTGAAAAGCTTGCGAGACGAGAACATGAGTCTGCGGTCTATGTACAGCAGTGGAGGGGTAGGTGGAAACTTGGGCCCGTCTTCTCTTTCATCCACACCACCACTACCATTTTACCCGTCTGCTATGACACAGAGTCTCCACAATGGAGATGTGGAACCGCAGGTGCTTTTTTTTTTCTGCATATGATTTTTTCCCATTTTTATTAATTTTTTAAAAACCTCCTTTTTTTTTAAGAACCTCCTTTTATTTGCAGAGGATATATGAAATAACAAGACATATTGAATCAGCTTTTTTAATTATTTTTTTGCATTTGGCCAGCCTGCTACTTACTGAAAATTACAGATTGAATTTTTACAGATGGGACAGTGATATGTTAAAGGGTTTACTCTACTGTATCACAAAATGAAATTATGTACCACATTTTCCTCAACACCCACCCACCCCACCCCAAAGTGTTAATAGGTCATGAATATATTGTAGTTCTGTACAGTATATATAAATAAAAGCTAAGATAACCAGGCAAGTACTAAAGCATAGGAGTATGGTAGCAGAGGAAACACAAGTGGATGTTGGGGATATGTAACATTCAGTTGTTTCCTTTGCTACCATATTTCCATCTGTGCAAATGAGGCAATTTAAGCAATGACTGCGATTGTACGTCTGTGATGGTTGTTTAGAGTCAAGTTTATTATTTAATCAGAAAGAAGGATCAGACAGATGACCAATCAGGGTTTTTGCTAAGTTTGTTTGGGCAGACTGTGTGAATGGGGAGGATAAAAGACTGATGATAGGTATGCTTGGATTGAAAGTAACTGGTAGGAGAGTGGTATGAAGTACGGTTAGTTCAGATGCGACTGGAAGAGTGGTAACAAAATATGCTTAATTCAAAAGTGACCGGTAAGAAGCGTGGTAAAAATATGCTTGGATCAGAAGTGACTGGTGGAAGCGTGGTAAGAATTATGATTAGTTCAGAAGTAACCAATGACTCCTTTGTATGGCAGTTATATACATGCATATGTATTAAGAGTTATAATTTGGGTATGTGATGTGTACTCTGTAAATGCTCTGTAAGGAAAATTTTAGAAATTAGATTGAAATAGTTAACCAATTTATTCGTAGGTTAATATGCGATCAAGTCGGGGACCTCCACAACGGCCCTTCAGTATGTTTGAGCCTCGCCAGGGACCACCCGGTATTGCCCCACAGTGTCATCCCATGGATCAAGCAAGAACCACATCATATCAGCTTGGCTCAGTGGTGAGTTAGACTTTACCTCAGTTTTAAGTAATCACAATGTCTTAAGATATTATGAAATCCAATCAAATTTTTTATTCCTTTTAGAAACTTAAACCTGATTCTCACTAGCCTGTTTTGGAGGGCATCTGAGACGTCACATAGCCATCGATGATATACCGGTCCGTTTGTGAACTTCATTTGTGAATCGGGAATGTCTGCTGCCTGTTTCTAATGTGCCCATTCAGACAGAAAGCAGTGGTGCTCTTCTGAATGGTGTTGAAGTTAGTCAAAGATTCACATTAAAATTTTTTTTAAATAACAATGAAATTCAGCTTAATTAATATAATCACTCTTAAAATATATGCATAGTAAACATTTATATTGGAAATAAAAAGAGTCAATACAGAATACAGATTTTGAAGGTACGTACAGTACAGAAAACATGTTTGCTGTGGTTTGTTTTACTCCTCTTTCCAAAGGTGATACTGTACTACTCATTTTCTGTAGAAATGAGTTTTAACCCAACCTAACCTTAATGAATAAATAAGATAATAAATATTATCTAACTAAATAGATAAAGTAAATATAATGAAGCAGCCATCAATATTTATCTCCCTCTCCATAAAGCATCTGTATCTACCACCCACCCAAACTGTGGAACTGAGAATAGTACAGTACAGGGCTTTAAAATAACCCTCGACAAAATTATCAATAACAGTGGGGGGATCCTACACGAACGACCGGCCTCCTTTCCTTGGCATAGCCACCTCCAGTGGTAAATAAGGTAAAAATTCAACATGAAGTGGCATCTCAATTAATAATTGCTCTGACCTTTCTCTTCTCCTAGCTGTGTAGCTGTGAGGAAGAAGGCATAGTGAAGGTTATCATCGTTCATGTTTGTTTAAATTTTAACTCCCCCTTCTGAACGGACTGCTGTTTTCTTGAAGTCAGAGACAGCCGTCGGAACGGACTAGTGAGAATCTTGCTTTAGGGACTGGTGTGATTTCAACTGTCTTACTCCTTTTTACTCAGCGAATGTCTGGTGAATATGACAACACAAGAACCAGGAGTCCAAGCCTTGAGCCGTCAGAAACAACTCCCCTCAATCCTTCTTACGGCCTTCCCACTCAGGAAGAGGTGAGATAAAACTGCAATAATGAAATGTTTAATGAGATGAGCTTCTCTGTGTCTCTGTATCTTTAACCCTTTTTCTCTCTTATTTTTCTAGTTTCTCTTCCCTTTCTAAATCAATTTTAATCTTCCAATATCTCAGTCTAGAGTAGTTATGATTTTATCTTAAATTCTGCTCATTGAGATTTTGCAGGCATTGTTGTTTAAGCTCTTTGAATTATTGAAATCACAGGGAAGGAATCCATTGTAAGAGTTACATATTTTAGTCAAACAATTGATTCCATTCCTCCTTATTTGTTTTAAAGATTCTGCAGGAAGTTGATCAATCCCTTAAGCCTTACATTTATTTTGCTGACAACTGCTTCAACTCCTTTTTACTATTGCTCTATAGAATTGATGTTAACTAAAACTGGTATGTAAAAATCCATCGAGTCATTTGTTTTACAATTGATAGGTTTTTTATTTTTTTATTTATTTATTTTTTTTACAGGTTGTTAGAAAGACAGAGGTGATCACAAAGAGAATCCAGGAGCTCCTTATATCAGCACAAGAGGGACGGCAGGAGGCCTTCATGCCATGTGCTGACCAGATCCATTCTGCAGTGCTAGATATGGATGCCATCTTTCCTAAGGTAAGTCTCCTAAGTTATCAGAAATAGCTTAAGTTTCTCTCCAAGTAAATGATCACAATATTCAATACTACCCCATCAGTTTTGACACACGTGGGGAGACAGATATCATGATCAATGCTCTGCTTTTTACCTCATTCAAGGAAACTAAAATCTAAATAAACAGTATGAGTGCTTTCTGGTGCTGCACCTTGTGGTTTCTTTCTAATTTGGATGTACGGTATTTTGGTGTCTGTCAAGTTAAGATTTGGAAATGAGTTTTTTCTCAACTTGTGTTCATTTCATTGTCTTGTTATTCTTGGGATTATTTTGCTTTCAGTTGTTTAATATGAAATATGTTTATATTAATTCCAACATTTTCTTTCACATAAAACTCAGATGACAAGCTTCTTTTACTTTTAGTTAATAGTACAGGAAATGAATTTCAGCAACTTTAGCTTCATTTTTGACTTGTTTGTTTATTACATTAAACCAAAGTAAATTAGGTAGGTTTTTGAATGAGCTTTACATTATGCTAACATTGATCTCTAATAACTTTCTTGTGGATGAGGATTTTTAACGAGGATTGATGTTTTTGTTAGTGACCATATATACTGGCTTTCTTTACCGAGTACTTTTAACTTCAGCATTCACTGCCACCTTACTTTTGGTTATCATGCAACTTCTCATTTTGCTAGTTAAATGAGCTCTTGCTCACTCATTTATTTACTGTGTTCACTGAGTATTATTACAATACCATGCACTTTGCACTGGTAATTATTTTCAAGTAATTAAAATAAAGACACACACACAAACACACACACACACAGAGAGAAAGAGTATTTGAGAGATTCCCTCAAGGGTGCAGGAAGGCGTTACATTTGATAAAAGTGAAGATCATGCATACAACTCGGTAAAGACAGGACAACTAAATACTGAATAGATTTGTATTTAGACATGTTTTCTTGTGGGTTGGTAATAAACCAAAATGGTAGAAAAAGTCATTCATAAAGGGCATGAAAGGTAATTTCCATTGGCAAGTGAGTAATTAATTGGGCAGATCACAATTCTGATAAGACCTATTGTTTTTGGAGACTATAGCTGTGTCCTGTCACCCTCACTTAAGGCTGATGGCTTAGGGGGCAGGTAAGGGTGATCAGTTATCCAAAGGGGTTAGTAGATCAACCCAGCTGATACGTGGGATTCTAACCAAGGAAGTCGCCCAGATTTACAAGAGTTACTCGCCTTTGGGTTTTGCCAGAATATATTTCAATATCAGTTTTTAATTAGTCCTCCCATTTACACATAGAAAAAATAATTAAATTGGTTAGCTAGTTCGCAGGAGAAAGATAGATATCCATGCTAATTTTGGTGTTTTTATTGTGTACCTGTATTACTATATTTTATTAGAAATTATACAATTGTGTACCTAACACAAATTTCAGTCTGGGTTATTTTTTTTTTACAGTGGTTGAAAATGGTACATTGGTACAGTTGATATTAGACAGAGTCATTCCATCATTATATTGAAACAACCATTTAAATTTGACTCGGGATCACACCTTGGCTGCTCAGATCTCATTAGGTAATAGAATCTCATGAACTTTAACATTGGCAGTACAGCACAGTACAGTACAGTATGTGAAAGGCTATAATTGAGAACAACCAGTCCCAGCAAGGACACAGTTGAATCTCTGAGTTAGGTGTAGTTAGCTGTTTAGAAAGAATATTAAAGAAAAACTGAGTATATTTGAGACCATTTGGTAACAGACATTCCTGATTATTTTTTTAACACAAACAGCTGGCAGTAGTTTCATGTATACTGTTGTCATATTTAATGAGCACAGTTTATAAGCATAATTGTGTCATATTTCTGAGATCATACTTTTAATGTGAGGATGTATGGAGGCTGAAATCTAAATACAGTACAGGATTCTATTTGTGTTACCTTGATGTACAGCTTCTTAATAAAGTTAGTGTAAATTATATAGTGAAGTAGAGGGATACATAAAGATTCCTCTTAAGTTAATCAAGTTGCAGTCATCTTCACACTGAAATATGGACTTATTCTTTATTATTCTTAGGTTTTCTCTTACTTATCAAAGAGTGAAAATTTTAGTCATGGAGAGAGATCCTTTCTCTTTATTTTGAAGCGGCACTGATAATGTTTATTTTATTTGAATGTAGGTTTGTATTACATAAAAAACCTTGAATAACCCAATGTTTTATGTGATCCTCATCAGCATTTATTTTAACATGTGTGTTTGCAAACAGGGAAATCAAAATAAATTTAGAGGAGTCAAGGAATTTTTCAAAAGGTGAGGCAGTAAATGGTTGAATGTTAAAAATATTTGTCCCTCTGTTACTTCAGTGAAGGTGTATGTTCTAGACAGCACACATCTAGTAGTTCGCTGCAGCAAAAAGGCTTATATTTATGCCATTCAAGATAAAGCTTGCAATGCTTCTTAGAAAATTTTGTATTGTTTTAGAAAGACCTTTGTCCTGCCAGGTTCCAGTATCTGTGACATTATATAATTCACCACTGAGTATTCATGAATATTTCACTGGTTTAATACCATATGGTATAGTAATGTTCCTTGTATATTATTTGTACCCATAAATGACATTTTATGCTCTTTTTACTGGTATTTTATATATTTTTTTTATAATATCTTTTTCTTCTGAATTATTATACAGTAAAGAGATAATCTTACCAGATGGCTTTTGCTTACTTTGCTCTACTTTATACTTACTTATCTTTATACAATATAATTTTGTTATTTTTTCACCACTAAGTTTGTATATCTGTTACACATGGTTAAATTAACGTCATAGAGCTATCTGTGGCACTTATTGATATATAAGTACTGTGCAGTATTGTGAAGAAATTCTGAAACACTTTTGTGAAGATTTTACAGAAAATGAATGTTGTATTTTTAAACATCATTTTCTAATAATTCATCTACTATATTGTTTGATATTTCATAAAGATCTCTCCCTTTGCCCAGGCTCGGTGCTCTCCTGGGGTGCAGGGAGCACTGCGCCAGCTGGTGAGTAGTGCCGGCAGACTGCAGAGCGAGTGCTGCGGACATCTGGTGTCCCATGCCCACACCCTTGATCCAAAGTTTGTCACCCAGCAGGTTATACAATGTGCTTATGACATAGCCAAAGGTGCAAAGGTGTTAGTAACACACTTCCAGTGAAAGCTTAGTGAAGGTAATATGAACATATTACTTTGGTTCTTCTGTCTCTAATCATGAGAAATAGTGTACTTCCAGTTGAATAATGTGAAATGTTTGCAATGGCACGGGTCACGTTCCTCTTCCTGTTCCGCTGCAGTCACGTTTAGTCTTCATCCTGCCGCACACAAGACTGTTGTAGTTCAAATAGGGAAAACCAAAGTCTTTACGGCATTCTGTGGAGAGCCTGGCGACTGTGTTTGTGTGACTGAAAGTAGAAGGAAAGTCTTATCAAGATATTTTCCTGATTGTTTATTATTGCTCCTGTTGTGATTCATCATTAGTATAGTGAAATATTATGTTTGCTCTTTATGCAGCTTAATATATAAGTATCCCAGTCAGGAAAACAAAACAGAAACCTTTGTGTTCCTGTGAGTTATAGCTCAGAACAACAACTTAGAACCAAAGTGTTTTCATTTGGTGAATTATCAAACAGAAGGAAGTTTTAGTGTGTATATAGTGAGATGGACTGAACTCTGGTTACTGTATATCTATTTTGAAAGTGTTAGAAGAACCATTAAAGAATTTTACGCATTTAGTAGAACATTCTTCAGATTAGATTATTCTAGTGTTGCATTTTTAATCTGAGGGAAGAAAAGCATGAAGATTTAGAAGAATTCAGATGTGAGGAATCTCCATCACTATGCTTAGATGTGGCAGCAAGGGGATAATATACCATGGCAGCGAGAGTTTTAATGTCCCTTATAGGGATTTGGCATGAACACTGTACTGTATTAACAAAAATTATCCGTTTCAGTGTGACTTTACATTTGCCTCGGGTTATTTCACGAGTTAGGGACCGAGAACATACCGTAAAAAAAAAATACAGTATGTAAAAAGACGCAATTCAAAACAAAACTTGGGGAGCAGAGCCAAGAAAATTCACCAAGCACTTAAATGATTTATTTAGTGCTTACTAAACACTGGTAATAATTATACAGTACAGCATCCTGATACACCATGGAAAAAATAAAAAAACTGTACAAAAAAAAAAAAAAAATTACATACTACCGGTATTAAAGAATATATCTCAGCCTGTTGCCGCAGACTGACCGGGTGTCCCACAGATTGGGCTTAGGAAAATTTCACCAAGTATTGCTTACCAGTAAAAGGTTTTATTTTCTAAACACAAGCAAGAAATGAACAGCATTCTGGTACACCAATGGGGAAAATAATGAAAATGGTAAAAAATTATGAGAAATGATTAATTATTGTATCGTCATTATCTGTTACTATCAATAATTCATAGTTCTGTTGTAGGCAGCCAGGGGTGTCTTCACTCTGCTTGCCTAGAGAAACATGAGGTTTGGTGCCACTTGTAGTCTCTGTCTGGAACATTGATGTTGTGTATCTTAAAAGTAACTGCAAATATTTATTACTGGAATGTTAATTTAAAGATGATTAAAACCATTTATGTTATTGTACACAGTAATGTTTTTTATACTGGTAGTGAGATATGTTCTTATATGATGGATCATTGGTGTTTTGTTTTACAATGGTAAGTGCAATATGAATATTTGTTACTGGTAATTACCATACACTGTACACTACTGGTATTTGCAGGAATAATAATTATTTTGTTGTTTGTTTCCAATATACGTACAGTAATATGAGTAAATATAATGTCAGTCTTCAGGTTATGAATCACGCCACAAGTGACTCACTTCATGGTCAACACCATCCAAATTTTAACTTCCTCTAAAGTTTTAAAAATCTTTCTCTTCTATTTTGCACTTGAACTGGAAGAAGAAGCAGCTGCTGAGTGTTTAGACATCTTGGTAGATGGCTTATGTGGTAAACAAGAGGGGAATGTGGAAGTAAGAATAATTGTCCTTGTGTGAGTGAGCACTGGCTTAGTGATGCTGTGACTGCAGCTGGGGAAGTGTGAGAGCACGGTAATATTATTGCCGTGACGGTTGATTTGAAATGCTTCCAATGTGGCTTTTCTTACAAAACAAAAAATTTCCTGCAATATTTAGGAAAATGGCAGTAATTTTGGATGAGTGAAATAAAAACGTTTAGTGAAGAATTGTGAAATAACCCGAGGTTATTGTATTAACCTTAGTCTTTTTAGGACCTGAAGTGTTTTCACAGGCAGAAAGTGTACGGTATATGGCAGTGAAGAATGTGGTGCTCAAGTGGAGAGCAGTAAATAATTAGCAAAACAGAATGCTTATCTGCAGTAGACTGTTATTTCACTTAGACTGTGGCTTAAGGTGGTGCCTTTATTGTGGAAATCTAAGTTTTCTTTTGGGACACAGATTTAAAAGTTGATCTGAAACTGTTATTATCATGTGCAATTTTTTTCTTTTTACAAAATTTTTGAAAAATAAGTGTATCAGATTTTAGAGAATTAAATACTCTTTCAGTGGAGAATGAATTGCTTATGTCAATAGTTAGTGTTAATTTACTGTATGTTGCTTGAAAACACAAGTTGTTTTGCCCTTGGGTAATCTACATATTAATTAAGAAGTTTGAGTTCATGAAAACATTTCAATATTTACATACCATGGCAGAGGAAATGGCATTATGGACAAATTAGAAAATGTTGGAAGGCCCTGATATGGTACAGATGCAGCTATCATCAAGGAATGGTGTGAGATTATTATTTATCTATTTTTTCCAATGGGTATATCAACTAGTGAGTGACTAATAAGATTTCCCAATTAGAACATCTTGGCTAAGTCTACCTGGTCCAGGAGGCTATCTGCAGTGTAAGAGGCAAGAATATTGTTATGTCAGATCACCGTAAATTGTTTATTCAATTCCTAATTCGTTGAACTGGAGTTAAGAGGTGGAGTTTCAACTCTAATTTGGTGGTCGCTTGATAATCCAATAAACAATTCTACACTGAGGTGTACCCTGGGTCTATTTGTAGCCTCTTAGTCTTAGCTTGCTATAACCTCAGTCCACACATCTTCTCTGCCTGTGTTAACATAGGGAGTCTGCAACTCTCCTTATGAAGATTCCAAGATAATTTTTTCACTTTGTTATTTCTGATGTTGGTTGTAAAATCTTTTGCCACACACTCCTTACAAACATTATTTATGGGGTGATTGGTATTGTGTGTACAATATACCATCTTCTTTTTCTACCGTGCAAGTGTTCATGTTTAATGTGCATGTATTCGTAGCTAAACTCCAATGATGTGTTATTTGTACAGCTCGGCCTTTTAATTTTATTTAAGCTTTTATTTGTCTAGGGGCTCTGCTATTCTCCCATTCAAGTATGCATTATCTTTACCAAGATAATATTAGCTATGTTTTAATATTTTAGATGGACTTTCTCTACCATTGTCACTTGGGTCATTGAGTAGAAATAAAACAAAACAAAGTCTCATTTTTTGGCTGACAGGAAGAGACAAGTTACGCAAAATCCCATCCTCCTCCCTGATACTGTAGGTTCCTTATTGGCTGGAATATGTGAGAATTGAAGAAAGTCACCCAAGTTTCTGACTCAGGGTTTGAGTTAAGTGAACCAGCTCCAGGGTTAGGCCTAGTGTATCTGATGGCTTTTTGGAAATTTAAAGCAAACTACCATATATAGGTTGAGATTCCATCTTGCTAACCCCAGTTCACCTAGATAAGTAGCTGTTTATACAGCAAATTTATAGTAATTAGACAGGACAATGTTCTTGCTCATAGAATGTAGATAGAATATAAATATTCCATGGAGAACACAGCTCTGCCAGAAGGTGTTCTAGTGGGAGACTCTTGCAGGTCACTTGTCTCCTTCCTTCAGCTATGAAATGAAATGTGATAAATGATCAAGTTCTTTGATAAAGATGTTATATTTTAAGAGCTGAACTTATAAAACTCAACTGAAAGGTAGCTGAAGGCAGCAAAATATTTATGAAATTATTTATTAAGCAGGCAGCAAAGTAACAAAGTTCAGAGATTGGCACTTTACTGTCTGGAACCCAGAAAGCACTTAAGAATATGATTACCTAACATATAATTAGGCAATTGCCTCAAGTAAAATGAATATAATTTGTAGTGATATCTGAACATCTCTGAATATTGGTATAATATTATGTCATCTGTGTACTGTAACTACTAGTTCACCATTGTAAACATACATTGGTGCTTATAACTGTTATTGGTGTATGCATAGCTATTTTTATCTTTAGAATTATTCAGTAAACTTAAGAAGCATGAGGGGAAATAATACAAACATTTATTCTTGGGTATCAGAAAATATATGATCAGATAGAGTGATTGTGATAGTGATAACAGAATAATGTTGTGTACGATATACAAGTGTCATCGCCTCCATGATGTGAAGGCTCTCCATGTTGTGGAAAGTCACTACAGAATTTATTAAGCACTGTGGTAGTGGCAACAGAATATGGTTGATATATACAAAAAGTTATTGTAAATGTGACTTTTGCTCAATAAAAGTTTTATGAAATGTGCAGGGCAATAAAGTTTTGCACTGTTACTTGGATTTAAAATATTATAGAATAAATGAAAATATGGTACTGTCTACTGTTCTGTACCACAGTTTTTGTTTAACCATTGCCACAAAAGTCTGTTTTTATTATTATTGTTATTAAATAACGTTTAAAGAATTATTGATATTGTGAATGCTGACTGAGTTATTGGGGAAATAGAGGTTGAAAATTTTTAGAGAAAAATTTATATGCATTTGTTTGTTATTGTTAACATTAGCAGAGTATTGCAGTAAAACCTTTATTATCAATCAAATTATTTATGGTGTTTCACAAATTAAGCGTCTGCAAATAGTGTAATACAGTACTTTTCCCTAAAATGTCCTGCTTCTCATTATATTACAGTACCTACTTAAAAATACACTTGATTAATATATTACCACAAAAACTCTCATCAGTACCAGTGATGAGAATAAGGAAACACCCCCAAATTTGCTCTTTTGGATATTGCCTGTACTGTACTGCACCCAGTTTTTTAATAATGTACATGCACATTGTTTACACCGTAGCGTGTCATGCTAGGTATTAATTCTGCACAATAAACTGAAGAAGTGTTGGTTCATGGATCAGTTCAGTCTACGGTTGTACATATTTTAACAATAGACCCACTCATAGAATTGGAGACGCCAATTACTGAAATCACACCGGTATCTTACGTACATATTTTGCTATGGTGTTTTAGTCTGTTACTTAAGGTATATGATGCACAAGAGAAGGACGACATCATTCCCTAATTTGCTGTTTTTGAATGGCACATTTTTATAAACAATTTATCTTTTCCCATCTGAGGATAAGGCATTAAAAAATTTGTCTTTTCCAACCCAAGATGAAAATAACAATGTAGTCTTTGTGATTTCCTAAAGTTTTAGAGGAAGATGAATATAAAAAATACAGAATTTTTTCAGCTTTTAAAGTGAGAATCTGATGATTTATTATGTATTACTCTTGAATATTAATACTAGGTGAAATTGAAAGATAATTTTTTCTTCGTAATTGTGGTCTCTGTTTTTTCTTTTTGACAATTTTTGGAATACCTAATCAAAATAATATCTCATATTTCAGTATTCTAAGGAAGCCTACTCGACTGTTTCCTTCTTCTCCAGTGTGTGTCTGTGCTTGCGTGCATGTGTGTACTAAAGTTCATTAAAAAATCCAAGAATTTGAAACGGCTGCCTAGGAAACCCAAAATAAAAATATATACATGTAAATATCATGACAAACTAGCTCATAATACAGTACTGTATGTTCTCATAAGGTAATAGTGTAACCCATTTAAGCAGACAAAGCATTAATAGTTTATTAGATAAGAACTCTGTTCCTACTTCATCAATTTCTCAGACGTGTAAAATCTACAGTGGAGCAAACATGTGGTGTAACGCACTGAAGTATGAGTGAAGTTGGAGTGCAAGTTTAATGTAATAACTACAGTATAGTGTGTCATCCAGCTGTTGAGGTAAAGACAATAAGACTTTTCCCCAGTATCTCACTGATTTCGGCATTAGATAATTAAGGTTCTACTGCTTTTTAATTCCATTCCTGTGCTGGTCAGTATCCATTGTATCCAAAATTATAATTATTGTTGTGCCTTTCAGGTGGAGCCTTTCCAAAGCTATCCTAACACAGTGTGCTAGATGCTTTACAGAGTTACCTTGTAGAGAAGTGCATAGGTGCTTGCTTAGAGTAAACTCTTAAATATGTATTGCTTGTGTGTGTATTGTTCAGTCGGGTGAGCCTGAGCATGCTAAGAAGGGATTAATAATAATAAGCTGTAAGGCCCATCATGGAGTGTTGCAGTCATGAACAGGTCTTCCAGATATTGTTCATTTCAGGGTATTTATGTGTGGCAAACTGTAACAGTGGTATTTCGGTCAGGTAGGATGAGTTCTGTGCTTGGTTGATCATAACAGTGTTATAGAAAAGAGAGCAGACATTGGGAATTACACATACTAACTACAGCATTCCTCAAATTGCATGGACCATTGATATGTACAGCCCTATATTTCATAATAAGGGTTGCTCTGAACTAAATTCCTTGAATTCCTAAAAAAAACTGTACATTCAAAGCCACTTCCTTAATAGACAAGTAAATGACATTTGCATTATTACTGCATGTACTGTACAGTGATAGCCAGCAAGCTGTTCCACTAACATTGTAGCAGCCGATCTGTTCTATCAATTGGTGCTTTACTTATTTTAATTATGTCTTGAACCTAAATTTATTCCTCACCCAAGTCTTCCACATAGAGAACTACGTTGTTAAAGTTAATACATAATCTATAATACCATATTTGGTTAATGTTATCAAGTTATCCATTTTACCCTTAATCATCAGTCTTTATTATCTAAATACTACCCATCACTTGTCATCACAGTGTTTAGATTTCATTTGAATTTAGTTTAGATCAGTGGAATAATAGGAAAAAGTAATTATTCTTAGAACATAAAAGTGTTTAAGTGAATTTTAAGCTTTGTTTTCGTGTACACAATGCTCATGATTTTTGTGTTATAAAAATAATACTGTATTGGGAAATAGACAGTTTAATAGTAATCCAGAGGGTCATAGGTAATCTGTCTTTGGGATTTGTCTTGTAGATAAATCCCAGTCCTCATACATTTGCCTGGGATTTGTCTCACTGATAAATCTCAATCCACTCTTCATGCATTTCCCTGGGATTGGTCTCACTGATAAATCCCATTCTTGATGAATTTTCGCCCTTGTATGTTTCACTGCAGCTCATGATTCATACATTGTTACCTCTGAAGGGAAATGAATAAGGAGTTTACTTTTTTTTCTTTGGTTTTAAATGATTCAGTCAAGATAAGAATGTTGATGTATGGTATTTTTTGTGAATGGTAGTCAGGGATATTGTGTTCTTTTTAAACTTTATTTTGTATTTTATTTTTATTTTTATTTGATTATTTGTATTGTAGTCATATTGTGTCCATGTACTGTACTTTATTGTTCATAATTTAGGTACTACTGTATCTCATCACTGTTGATGTACCAGTCAGTTGACGAGTCATTGATGTAATTTTACCTCTGAGGATCGTTATTATAAAGTAAGGTCCAATATTTGTCACTTTATTATTATGGAACAACACTGATAATTGTTGTCTCAGTGTTATAGGTTGAAGGTAGAGGTGAGCTGGTTACTTGTGAGTGAAGAAAGTGTTCACAAGGCTGTCAACTAAGGAGGGAACATAATCCTTGCTGCCAAACAATGTCTTAGCACATTATTTATACAATGATTCTACTGTTTTTGTTTATTATCATCATCTTATTTTTCTTATTATTCTGCAGATGTATATTGTTAATAACTGCTGTAATTCCAGTAAGATACAATACTTAACCTCTTGCCAATATGTAATTTTTATCTATTTTTGTGAATTAACTCATATCTGTATATATTCCTTCTCCCTTCATCGTTAATTATTAACATGAGAATTTTGAATGTATCTGTATTTTCTTTACCAAAATTTGCTTGTTATTTTAACACATGTCTCTCTTGTTGTATGTGTAAAGGAATATTATTTTACATTGCAGCTGAAATGGTGGATGTCAGGAAACGGTTAGTTTTGGGTAGGAAACCTGCACAAAATTCCTGAGTGTTCATAGGTTGAGTTCTACCACATACAAAGTTCTTCTACGAGTGCCATAAAAAAAGTGTCCGTGTGCCACAGTGAACCCATTTTGGTGAGTTAGTGCCAGTTGTAAATTCTTTGTAGATATTTGATGTCATCTTAAACAATTAGTAATTTTGTATATCTAACACATCTCAAGAGCAACTTATGCTCCATATATGGCACATCTGTTTAGCAAGTTTTGTAAGCAGCACATTTTGTAGATAATACTTCAAACTAAATTATACCATAGAAGTACAGTAGTGCACTAGTGTATGTAGAACTCGGTTGGGAGTCATATCCAAAACATAGTTTTGAAGTATACTAAGTATATTTGAAGTGGCATAAATTGAATGGAAGAGCAATTGGAGACAATATTTAGATTTGTCTTCAGTAATTTGAGTTGTTGTGGGTCTAGACACTTCCCAAAGTACCAATATCAGATTTTTCAGTAAAGTGTACAGTATATTAATTGGGAAAGTTTTTAATGAAGAAGGTGAAGTAATGATGTTATAATGAACAAGGGGTAAATTATCATTAGGCAGTCCTTTCAGTTTAGTTGAAAAACATTTTGAATACATCTTCACAAATCATTAAGTAGACATAATACGTCTTAGAAAGTTATGTAATAGATACCGTACCTCTGAAAGATATTAATGGTGTAAGTCATTTATCAGGTGATTTGGTAGGTTCCTCCTCCTTAGTCCCTCAGCTGTCAACTTATTTTTTTTAAATTCAACTCATTTTCCTTACTTGAATTTCTCCAGTCAGTAAATCTATTTTGACAAGTAGGGTTTCCGTGACCCTTTACGCGTGAGCCTGGGTTATCCTTGTTATATAATACACCATAAGTCTTTGGTCCACCCCCCATCTTCCTTACCTTGTTGTTGTGTTATTTACAGGAAAAAAAATAAAATTCCTGTGTATGTAAAAGTATTTACTGTCTGATTTTGTAAAAACAATAATTCAGTGTTTTTTTTTCTTTTAGTGAACTTTCATGATCAATTTAAGAAGATATTAAGCAAAGAACAATGTTTAAAGTTGTACAGTAATTATAAAAGATATCGGCCTTCCCTCACCAGCTGATGTCTCCTGATGATTGAGCATCCTAATACTACCTGGTTAATCTTTAGGTTAAATAAGGTGTGAGGAGCAATTCTCTATGTGGCCAAACATTAAAAGGATTGGAAAGTTGGAAATGACAGTATTGGTCCAGGAAGTACTGTACTGTACAGTATTTCATATTGCCTGACAACTGCTCATCCAGAACATAAAACAGTGCAGGGAATTTTTATTATGATGTTCAAATTAACAGTGGAGTGATACGATGTGACCTCAGTGGCGAAGCAGTTGTCTCGGCAAATTATGACAGGTTACAGAATGGTGGTTCACAATTATTGGGCAGAAATTTCTTACAAAAATCACACTTGGTATTATATTATAGAAACAAAAAGTTCCCTTGGTAGAATAACTCAGAGATTATAAATGTATGAATACTGTATATACCTGTAGTATGGTGAAAATAAGCAGTCACTTTGTATACACACAGTACAGTACTTTCATTTTTCATGTGTTTACATTGTTCCCACATTGTTTTGACAAGTTATTGTTGTGTTTATGTAATAATTACTGTGAGTGAATTTTTAATGAAACTACCAGTACTTAACAACTGTGAATCACTGAATTAAATTTCTAAAAACTTTAAATGTATGACACATTGATGAGTACTGTAACTTATTAGACTATTGGTCTCATTTGGGTGAAATGTTGGTCGACTTTAATGTACAGGCATCCCCGGGTTACGGAAATTCGCTCTTAAGGATCTGGGAAATTATTCCCAATAAATTCGGGATATGGACCAAAAATTCGCCCTTGCGGAAATTGGATAAATTTTTTAACTTATTATTTTTTCAATACTATTAGAAAAAATTCACAGAAATTATAGAATTTATTTTGTGTGGATTTCTTGGTGGTTGCTACAATACTGTACAAGGCGAGGCAGGAGTCAGTAGGTAGTGCCCCTTCGTCTCCCTCCCAGTAAATCCGATTGCACCACCTTATCTCACCTTACATAGCACTCAACATCGTTTGTGGTAAGTTAAATTCAAGTGTTTTGTATATTTATTATCATATTATATCTTAAAATAATCAATGTATGTGTTAAAAAAAATTATCTTCATGCATAAATGTGCTTCTATTACGTCATTTTGCCAAAAATATTTCCTTGGGAACGCATCTCCAATTATATAATGGAAGTCAAAGGGAAAATTGGTTTCGCGTTACGGACAAATTTTCAAGGACATACCTTCCGTAACCCGGGGGATGCCTGTAGTTATAATGTTTCGTGGACATTTTGTTATTTATTGGTAAAAAGTGAACAAAACTTTATACTGTACTCATAATTTAAAAAAAAATTTCACTCATGACACTTTTTGGGAAATTATAATAAAAAAAAAGCAAAGGACGTGGTTGGCTCACAGGTATTGTATTACATGTTCTATTAACTTATCTAAGTAATGAAAGTCACCAAATCTGCTGAATAATGTTTACCATTATAATCTTGACTTAAATATTGTTATGAATATTCATAATTAAAATTTTTTGTATCATATGAACAACTGACGATCATAACAATGCAAACCTAGACACCAAACAAACTCTCGGCAGATTAGGATGTGTACAAATACAGAGCCCTGAACACTTGTACTAAATATTAACTACCCTGCACAGTCAAGTGATGATTATTGTCTAGGAAATAAATATAAATCAGGACACAATATTTTATACAAAATACCCCGTACTGAACTACGGTCTAGGGATGGTGACTGTTAGCCACACTGCTTTATATGATTAAAACTTAAATTTTTAACTTTTAATTTAAAATGTACTGTAATTGTTATTTAAAAAATATCTTTAGTTTCATATATTGCTTGATAATATAAAAATAATGACATTTATCATTTTATGTGACCAGCTTTCACAAGTTAACAGGCAAATACAGTGGCTCTCGTTAACTAACTCAACTGCTCCAGAAGGCTCGTTCGTTAACTCAAACGCTCGCTAACTCCAAACCATTGTTTCAATGGGCTTGCAATGGCCCCAGCTCACCGAAAATTTCCTAAATTCAACAAAAATGGTAGAAAAGTTCACTTACTTTGAGGTGTGTATGTAGAAGGCTCCTGGATGATGATGATGATGATGGGATTTAGAATGGGGTGGAGGAGAAGGAAGAAAAGAAGGCATTGGGGTGGAAGAGAAGTCACCCCATGGCGCCATTTTACCCATAAAATTTTAGCTCTCTGGTTTAATTCAAGATTATTTTCTTTAAATCAATGCTGCACTGCATTATATATTGTCAATATATAAAATATATTTCAAAATGACCAATAATTTGCTTGGAAACACAGACAAAAAGCATTTAGTTGAAGAGAGTCTCAAGCAAGATGTTACCTCCAGTGAAAACAGAGAGAGACTGACGCCTGTTTGCTGTGTTAAGAGGCTGGATGCCGCGCATTAAACTAGTCACTTTACCTTCAATTTCGTTCAATAATTGTTAAAATGACAAAAAAATTGAATATTAAACTTTTAAAATTATTGAATAGTATAAACTTCTTGATATTTACAAAAATAGTAAGGAATTTAAGCCCTAGAACCGATTAATGTATTGGCGGACTGATACTAAAGCTGGTTGCCCGGTCAGTGCAAGCGAAAACATGTTGAGGTCGGTTCGTAAGAAGTTCGTTAAGCGAATTTTTTTTCGTTAACCGAATTGAAGATCCTTATGGAAGGCAGTTCGTTAATCGAAATTACGTTAACCGAGGTGTTCGTTAAACGAGGGGTCACTGTAGTCAGTAAGAGAGTCAGGGATGCTTCTGCTTTTGGTGTAGCTAAGTGAAGACCTTTAGTTTAATGAGGTGCATGACTTAGATGGAATGCTATCAGAGAGACATTTTATATCAAAGGTGAATGATTTTAACTTTTTGAAGGGTAAAGGCAAAATACTACTATTGAAATATTTGTGAAAAAGGATACAGTACAGGTAGTCCTATTTATCACAAAGGTTCTGTTCCTGACAACCCTCACAATTATTTATTATGTGAAACCCATTTTCCCCACAAGTAACAATGAATTAGTGGGGAAGGAATTTTGAGAGTAATTGGTCTGATTTTTTATTTAGGAAACACTTTAGCTTAATAAAAAGACTTATAAATACATACAGTCCAGTACAATTATATTTACGGCATCATACAATATAAATTGATTAAAAAACATGAAATATAGACAAATAGATATGACACAAGACTGTACTTATACCTGTACAATACAACTGAGAGGCAGGTGCATGTTCACCCTCTCATGCTCAAGCATCAACTAACTCTTCTCTCCACGTCTAGAAGTTTCTTGTACTGTACGCCATTGGCAAATTCCCAAACATTTTACGACAGTGATTACTTTTGCTGCAATCTAAATTATTGTACTATATATATGCGGATTACCTGTACTGTAGTGATTACATTTTGGGGAGAAAGTAACTACTGTTTACAGTTTGGTGTGTTAAAACACATAAGTCACAGGTTTCACTGCACAATAAATTACCTGGTAGTGTACAATTCCTGAAAATATAAAAAGCACTGTAATACTTACTACCTTAGGGAGTAGTGTAGATAAAAAATATATATAATCTACAGTAAGGCAAACTTCACATTACCCAGCAGGTGTTCCCTTACAGTTTGTGTTTACGAGATTATACTGTACCGTGAGGGGATGGTAGGAGTAGTTTCATTACAGTATATACTTAAAATTCCATTGTTTTGGACCATCTTATGCAATAATAAATCCAGAAAATTGAAGTTTTACTGTGCTGTGCAGCCTAATATTAATACTTTAATATTGCTAAAAACCTTTAAAGATTTATCTTGAAGTAACAAATTGGTTGTCTTGGTTCCCCATGGAATTATTAACAAATGAGGGACTTCCTCCATTGATTATTTTTTCCCACCATCCTTCCACAGTATAACTTCGTAGATAACGACTTGTTCTCAAATTTAACATTATTCTCTGCAAGATATGCCTATTCTTACATTCTGTACATAACTTTCGGCATTTTTTTTTCTCCTGTACTGTACATGTAGCAAGTCCATCCCCAAACATCTTTGGTCATTCACCATCAAGTGTTAAACATACCACAACACACCTCTCACAGGTTCAAGAATTCTACACTTTGGTGAGCCTATTAAATTAATGTCTCATTAACCACCTTCCTTCACAATTATGGAATAACAAATTAAAAGACAAGAGTTAACTGTAAGTACTGCATATACAAACAGGAAAGTAGATGGAACTTGAACACTGTATAATAGTGTCTCTTGGATAAATAGAAGATGCAAAATAAAAGCAGCATTCACCGGTAACAACAATAGGATTTTAATAAAGGGTGACATTACAAAGTGGTGCTGCAAAGAACAGGAGAATTGGCAAATAAATTTTCTTTTCCTATACTATAGTGCAATTCCTTTTATCCGAACTCATCGAGTCCAACGATGTTTTGATACCCGGACGTGCCTACAAGAACATGCAATAATTAACATTAGGTCAAAATCTGGTTCAGCGATAGCATGACTCACTGGGAAAGGAAAAATTGGGGATGAGGTGGCCTGTGATCGTTACATGTAATGAAACTATAAAAGTTGTCGAATAATCATTACAATACAGCGCAGTTCCTTTTTTTGTGGATTTTTTATTTGTGATTTTGACTTCATGGATTTTCATCAGAGATATATTTTCATTGCAACAGGTATTACTGTATATTACCGATTTCATATGCAGTTGAGCGCGAACGAGTTTCCGGAAGAAACCGCCGGGCATCACTACAGCAGACCGCAGCTTCCTGCCTCTCCTCTGTTTCACTCACGTTCCCAGCCATACTGTTACATCTCCCCGAGACCCGAGTGTTAGTAACCCCCGTGAAAATTGAGAGACCACTTTAATGTGACTTAGAAGTCAAGAAAATATAATATTAAACTATAAAATTAAAATAAGAAAAATGAAGAGAGTGTGTGTGTGTGTGTGTGTGTGTATACAGTGTGTGGGAAGTGAATGTATGCGTGGACTCATTGAGGCAGTAGGCTGTAACTGCGTTGCGTTGCCGACTCCCCCGATGTAACATTATGGACATAATCGCACACGCCTTGCAGTCAGCTGATTGTCTGCCTGGCTGAACTCTAATGTGTCACCCAGAGAATGATTTGAAAGTGGAAGGAGCACTCTTTTTTAACAAAATATGTAGTATTGTATTTTATGATGTGTTTTGTATCAATTTTATTGTTTATCATAACATAAAATTAGTGCAAGTTATAGATTCAAGTGATTCAAAAGTGTTTTGACACCATGTGGGTAGATCCGAACTATTTCCAGTTAATCCAGACTCAATCTGGATTAACAGAAGTTAGTCCAGATAAAATAGAAATCTGGTTAAAAAGAGACTGGGTAAAGAGGGTTTTACTGTACAGTAGTTGGAATTCGGGTAAAAGGAATAGCACTGTAGTGATTCATTGAGTGACCAAGAATAACCATTACATAATTGTAAAGGGGAATATTGTACAGGGGTACTTGCTGACCATACTTAATAGTTGCCACCTAACAACCTTGCCTTGTCTATTGTGGATTTTTAAAATATGATAAGATGTCTTCACCGTTTTATTCCTTCATGATTCTTGTGCCATAAAGAAGATATCCACCACCACCTGACATGTTAATTTCTGGATGCGTACGCTGAGGCAGCACTTGGTAGTGTCGTAACCACGTCTCACTAAGTCGTAGGTTTGTACCATTTTGGGCTTTCATTTCCATAAAGAGTTCCATCAGAGGCTGAGGAAGTAGTAATGAGTGGGGTTTAAATGATCATTCACAGATAGAATAGTACCTGCAGTTTCATGTTATTAGAGCAAAATATAGCCTGTCACAAATTTAAACTGAAAATAACTACTTCCTGCTCTCTTGAGAAGGTTCCAAAGGGTCGACTAACTTGAAAAGGATAAGTACTATCAAGATAACATAAATGTGTGTATTAATTAATGTTGGTTTTACTGCAGTCTATTAAGCATTTGTTCTTGGAAGTAAGATGAGTGTTGCTTGTTACAGATGTTTTGTTTTAGTGTAAACCCAAGTGGAGATGTGATGGTGCTTCATATCTTAGTGATTCAGCCAAACCAGCGGTGGATTTAGGGGGTATGGGTATATGCATCCCCCCCTTCCCCCACCCACCAATGAATTTTTTTTTTTTGAGGCTCAGACCACTGTACTGTGATCAGACAAAAATAATACTTTTTTGTATGTGCCCGTTATACAACATTTAAAGAATTACTTGTATATCTGAGTTTGTAGCTTAACTGTACTAGCACTGATGTGTATATACACCAGTAGAATGAGAAATATTTGACATTTTGATTTTTAACATTTTAAATCGATCCCCCCCCCCCACACTAAAATCCTAGATCCGCCACTGAGCCAAACATCGTGTATAAAGCCATAAAACTTCAACAAGGTGTAGGAACAAATGGTGATTATACATACCTCTTTATAAGGAGAGAAAATAACAAATGGATGACCAGGTTTGAGGTACTGCAATAAATCTCTTGTGATGTTGTTGGGGTACTGACGACAAGCCACAACAAGACCTTCGATGCATTCACGCAGCACGGCTGATGATACTTGCACATCCTGTACTTGACTTCTTACAAACTGGAAAAAAAAAACAAGAACTTATTTCAGTTATTATTCTACAGCATAACACATATACAGTGCAGCAGCTGTAACATAAAACATGTCTGATATAGTGAAGCTTCTATGTACAGTATTCACAATAAAAGACAACAATTTAGAAAAGGAGGACACGTTAACATGACTTACCTTGCGGGGCCTTGTAAATTCCTTTTTCTTACCCTCTGCATCATCACTGGTTTTCTCCGTCGCTTGTTCAGAGTTCTCTGCCTTTATTACTCTAGTTAATGAATCGATGTCTTCTCCTTTTTTATCATCTTCATTTTTAGCTGAAATGAGTTACCAATTTTTTTTAAGTTTTCAGCAATGATAAAATGTTTAATAATATTAACAAGGATGACTTAAGAAAATTATCCATACTCTGGTGAGAATACTACTTTATACTGAATATGGATAATCTTACACACATCAAAGAATAAACATTGTTATATAATCATAGGACTTACAATTAATCTCCATTTCTTCAGTTCCATTTGCAGTAGATTCTTGTTTTTGAGCAACCTCTGGTAGTTTGGTCAAGTTGATAAATGAGAGTACCTCCAGTTCTTGTGTTGTGAAGTTCATGAGGTCTACCGCATCTCTGGTGTAGGGTGATACAGCGTCAGATAAAATCGCCACAAAGGCTGGTAAAGAGCAACCAGGAATATAGTCAGAAAACTGTGTGTGTGGTATTTATACTTTACAAATATTCAAGGTACAGTACACAGCTTTGTTGCCATACAACTGTTAGGTGATGTGTGACTATCAGGGAATATTGTTTTGAAATTTTTCAATGCAAGGCTGGTTAATGTTAGCATGACAGTGTGCACTTGCAGCTGTTTTTCTTTCAAGAATGCAGTTTTCTTTGGGAATTTTGTTTGGTCAATGAATTAGCACACAGCATTACATCTGAGCCTGGTTTAGTTGGATGGAATACTTCAGATTACTCCATGCCTAGATTATTTCCCTGGCATGAAGGGAAGTAAGTGTGGGAATAGAGTCCAACACTAGTAACAGCATTGAGATGTGTCCAGTACTTCCCTCCAGGCTTCGATTGGACCGGTAGTCTTCCTCTTTTGAGGGTAACGGTTACTATAGGGTAGAGGGACTAATCCCAGCCACCTTATTTTGGGGGGGTTACCTGGACCAAACCCACCAGGCTTTGGAAGTACACTACTTATAATTGAGTTAATACCCAATGATAGTCATAAAACAGGTCTTCTGTTTCAAACTTCCAGATTTTAATGGGTAAATGACCAAGTAGATAATAAGATAGTTTCTTGAATAAATAAAAACAAGTTATAAAATATAAGGATAAGTGTACATCTGTGAGGGGAAGGCAAGATAATAAATAAAAGAGGTAGTATGAAAAAAGCCTTACCTCTGTGGGTGATTTCCATGATATATTTGAACCAAGTGTCCTGTTGTGCCCATACGATGTAACATGGCAGCAGTCACTAGACCCTGAGTGCCGGATTCAAATACAGCAAAGCAACCACCCGGCTGTACGTTAACATGACACAGCAGCTGAGACAACGTATCAAGGCGAAGGTTGCTGAAGAAGAGACCACAATGATTCCTGGCCAACTTCAAACTAAAATGTTGTAAGATGATTATTTTAAATCAATACCCTGTTATCAAATTTGTTGCTCAAGGAAATTTATACAAAATCATCCTTTGGTTTCAAAATATGTGTAACATAAACAGACACACTTCATAAACATTCAGAATTGGGGTTGTTGGACTACAGCATTAATTTCACATCTGAATTAAAACTTTACACTGTAATTTTGATAAACATTATAGGGGGTCCCCGGGTTACTCACAGGCTCCGAGGACGTTCTTAAGTCGGATTTGTACGTAAGTCGGAGCACGCGCTACGTACATACCGTACTGTACTTATAGAACAATGTTTAAAATCCTAAGCCTAAGATACATCTAAAATCTCTTAATTTAGGTCAAAAGAAGAAATAGAATGCCAAAATACAGTAAATAAAAGTAAAAAAAAATAAGTCATCAGGTAAATAAAATACTGTACCCGGTAAATTTCAAGCTTAACCCCGTTCGTATCAGCGGCCATTCATAAGTCAGACGTTCATAAGTTGGGACCCCCTGTACATAGTTTTCATAAGGGTGATGTGATGCGTCTAGTGCGGTAGTGCTAAGTTAGTGTTAAGGTGCAGCTCTGCTTGCTAATCTTACGCTTTCAGCTACTGTCGCCGGCTAGCCCTCGTGGTGAAAGGGGGGAGCAGAGTGTGTAAGTCTCTTCCCTGCCGGTACACAGCCTCTCCATCACCAAGACCCTTCAGTGCCTCCTCGTGGCAACGCACGGTAACTGGGTGTCTTGCGACCCCAGGCAAATTCTGTAAGGGATCTCGGAGCAGCAGCGGGCCCCAGAGGTACGGTGTGCAGGCCCGCCTGCGTGCGGATACGCCCTGACGCCTACCAACCACTGCAACCCCCACCCCCTCCCTATTGCCTTGTGGATTAGTCTGGCGGAACATAAGGCTAGGGAAGCTCACCCTACACATACCACAGTTGGGTGACTTGCGTCAGGCAGACTCCGACTGACTGGAGCTCTGGCAGTCCCCTGCATTCACGGTCACCCGAAGGTCATCTCGAGTCCACTCTTGCCAATGGAACTTGGCGATCAGGACCAAGCTGGTGGTGGTGGTCGGGTCAGCGCACCCCGACTGTCAAGATAATCTCTTCGCTGCACAGGCAAACCGTTTCATTATATCATCTCCATCAACACAACTTTACATCTCGAGAACGAGCATAATAGAGTCAGATGTGCACGTAGGGAAAGGAAACACAATTGCACTCCTTACCCGGAGCTGTTCTGCCCAGTGTGTCATAGTCTGCAGATTGGATTCCACAACCACATTCAGTGGCACCGCCGACATCCCTAGTTTAACACTCATCATCGGCTATGACAGACAGCCTTAAGCAAGCATTACTCCTGGGTTGAATATTTCTTTACAGTAGACCTTGACCATTTGCAAGTTTCTTATTGTTCAATTCACAATGTTACACTACATCTGTACAGTTCCTTGAACCCATGTGCACACTGGGTAAAAATAAATGACACTTGCCCAAGTTTTGGCTCATAAACAAGAGGACACAGGTAACTGTAGCATTATTCCCTGAATGCTTTCAGGACTGCTTGGTCCATGGAGTGGAAATAACTTAAAATAAAAGAACTTGGTATTTAACTTCCTTCTCATCAATGACAATGCCACAGACCACTCGCCCAATATCAAATTCATGCACCTAAAGGTGTAAGTGATTTTTCTGCCTCCAAATACAACTTCTATACATTAACCCCTAGATCAAGGTGATATAGCAGCAGCCTTCAAAGCATACTACACCAGTTGCATTTTGAATGTGATGGAGAATGATCTGACATTGGATGTCAGTCAGTGATGGAAGAACTTCTACATTGTGCACTGAGTCACTGACAAAAGAAGTTGCTTGATGAAATCAAACCATCCACCATGAATACCTGCCAGAGGAAGCTGTGGCCAGAGGCTCAACAACTTCTCTGGTTTCCCTTGTGTTGCTGATGAAGCCAGGAACACCAATCAAGCCCCCTCCTTCCCCAAAGTCAGCCACCTGCATCTCCTGGGGAGTCATCATTTTTACTTCCCCTCCACCACCACCATCATCATCATTGTTAAAGGCAAGTTACAAATAATTCTTTGTAATTTATTTTTATTTATAGGTAATGTAATGTATTGGTCATTGCAGTATTCTTAAACATTTACCATTCCTCCCTATGTTCAGTAGAACCCTTTTTCCTATACTGAAGATCCAAGTTTTTAAATTCATAAATTCTGCATTTGTGAGAGTTTTTTAAAAACATAACCCCCACAAATACCGAAGGTTTATTGTATGTACAATATGTTTTCCTTTGCAGTTTAAAAACTAACACTGCAGCAACATGTAACTTGTTGGGGTCATCATTAAAATCCTGCACAATTAAACTTGAAGACTCATAAAAGATAGAAATGCCATGTGCTCATAATCATTCCTAATACTGAAGCATGCTGGGGTGATAAAATGCCGAGCCAATACTTACGATATTTTAAGTGGATCTTGAGTGTAATACATATTACACAGCAGTCGTATAGATGGTCTGTGTATGACGATGATTTCATCATATTTCTTTTGTTTCTTTTTTACATACTTTTCTTGGGAATATACTGTTTTATCTTTGAATGTTGTACTACTTTCTGTGATTGTCTGAATGACCTGAAAAGAAATATATATATGCTGATAACCACAAGCAAAGAAGAAAACACGAAGTTCCCAAGCACTTTCGTGTAATTCACATCTTCAGGGGTGAGTACAGACAGTCTGTACTCGCCCCTGAAGATGTGAATTACACGAAAGCGCTTGGGAACTTCGTGTTTTCTTCTTTCCTTGTGGTTATCAGCATATACCTAGATCATGCGCACCCACAGTGATTTATATATATATACTAAAGATCAGTAGCATTCATAATCTCTGACCATAATGTCATCTATGAAGATGAAACAATGAGCAGCTGCTTTTTTAGTAGAAAAATTGAACTGGATATTCAATAGAGCACATTAAAAACATAAGATGCAAAATTAGTCCCCAAGTCTTAAATCAAAAGCCTTTCATAAAGACTATGGATAAGTTTATGATGGCAGCAAAATTGTTGTTCTTACCTCTTTTCCTGTCAACCCCGAATCTTTAAGCTGGATAATTTCCTCCGGTGTTAACTTCTGGGACCGGCCATCATCTCGTAGGTCACGGTTGTCCTCCCCTCCCTCCATCACTGTGTAGAAAATATTATTTTTCCTTCAAGTCAGTTTTATAAATGTGGCCTACTCTTATTTTTCATAAGTGACAATTCAATAGTTATAATTTGATAAATAATTAATTCATGCTTAATCACTGTCATGTCATCCTAAGGTGTGGTACAGTACTTTCACTCTCAGTGCAGTAGTTGTCTCATTAAAGAGATAAGTGAAAAAATTATCTAAATGCAGTCTAAATAGTGTAAAGGAAGCCACTACAGTATTTCAAATTTGAGACTCACCAATATCAAGAGAGCTACTAAAGTCTTCTGTCTTTTGAATCTTGAACAGTTTGTTTGATGTCTTCTCCATTTTGAAGGAAGACCCAAATAGGCAGCCAAGAGCACCTTCAATATTTAAAGTAAATTGACCACCACCTCGTTTACCAAATGCATAGGTCCTGTAAAAATAAATATGCGGTTAAGACTAGTTTATTCTATCTTCATATTTACAATGGACATATTTTGACTGATCCATTTAGCGTGCATGTAAAAATTATAATCATCAATCACTGACCTGCCCCGTAAGACACGGCATGTCTTAAGGTAAGTGCCCTTCTGAATAACCACAGTGCAGCCCTCGCATATCTCCTCCTTCCCTTCTGGCATGATGACCTACAAGAGAACATTTGTTAAATATATACCGAGATATTTCTAATACTCTACCATATGTGATTGTTAGTGATATGTTCATATTGTAAATTAAAAGTACATATTATATCATTGTCTAAGTGTTAGCCAAGTTTGCACTTTTATAGGGAGCTGTACTCCTTATGGCATGCAGTTTTTTGTAAATTATTATTTGATCATTAAGACATCTTATGACAAAAGATGCCACCATAGCCCAGTGCTTTCTATGACTTCACAGAGATATGAGCCCCATTTTAACCAGTGAAAATTGTCAATAATTTGTAATGCCTTACATATTTATTCCACATTTTCCTTTTTGTAATAAATTTACAATAAAAAGTTTCTGTTCACCCATATTGTCCATTACAGTACTGTCTTTTATATTTTAGGGTTTTGGTTGGTTCATTTTCTATAAACCATTTCTGGGGTAATTACTTTCATATTACAGTCCAAATTCCTAGACTGAGGATTACCTAATTGAAATAAATACTGGACAGTAATTTCAGAATATAGATACAGATGTGTTCAGATTGAGGTGTGAACTTTTTGTGATTTTAAAAGTAATATTTTTGTAGCTGTTGTAATTTTCAAGTGTTATTAGTATATAAGACTGGGCTGTAATTGTCAAAGATTCTGGAAGGATTCAAAAGATGCCTAGATATTTATTCATTATAAATATCATTCAAGTTCCTTTTGATTTACCATGTTCAGAGATCCATTCCTGTAGTCTGTTTAAACAGAACTCTGAAGTTAGTTAAATCAAATTTAGCCCAAGATCATTAAAAGTTATTTCCTTTGTGGTACAACTAATTTCAGTAATAGTGGAGCAGACAGCTAACACCAGAGAGAGTTGTATGATTACATTTGTTTTTTCTCAGATATTCTTGGGGTGATAATAAGCAAGAAAAATGATACGGCAATTTTTTATTTTATCTTTCATAAATTCCCTGTAGTGGGCAAGGTGTGGAGGATGATCACATGACACTAAAATGATGTCTCTACATGCTTTGTGTTAGAAGAAATCTGTCTTGTTGCGTGTTGTTGTCCGCTCTTTGTTTCAGTGCAACAACTGAGCGTCTTGGTCCGACCATACTCTTAACATCCCCCCCCCCAAAAAAAAATTCACCGTGCCACTTAAAAAAAGTGGCTTTCATTGGTACCCTCAACTAAAAAGTTAGGTAAGGTTAGGTAGGTTTCTTTGGTTAGGTCAGGCTCTATTATGTTCTGTGGGAAAAATAAACAAAATCGAACAACTCTTTCTGTTGTTAGCTCCACCTTCACCCTAATTTCTTCCCTAAATATAAGCAAAGTTGTGAATAAGCTTGTTGCCACAAATGCATTTTAATTCAGAAAGCTTTTCATTCGGTGCATTAAAGCATTCTTAGGTGGGTACCGTTGGACTGGAAGACAGTATTGCACAATACCTGTACTCTAGTCTTCCAGTATAACTCTCAACAATGCCAAGTGAAGTGAAAAGAGGGAAAGTATATATTGTATAATGGATTACATCCTACTATAGGACGGTCGTCTGTTTAAGCTATTTAATGTACGGTAACTTAACCTGGTCATGTAACAAAGTATAAAAATCGTGTATTATTATTGTTTCGGTCATCTAGCGAAGTTTAGGGTTATAAGGTTAGGTTAGGTTAGGTTAGGTTAGGTTAGGTTAGGTTAGGTTAGGTTAGGTTAGGTTAGGTTAGGTTAGGGTTTTCCGATGGTTTTTTGATGCGAACAACTTCCAAATAGGTGGATGGCCAAAACGATAATTTTACCCCAAATCGCAGATCCCCAGACCCTAGCCTGATAGATACAGTACTCGTGTTCATCAGTAACTGTTGTGTTCGACCCCTGACCTGATCCTGAAAACACCTTATTATGGGGCCGACACAAAAGAGAAGCTCTTCAATAATTGTCCCATAGTCTAGAGGACTGAGCAGCGGCTGATGCAGTAATATCTAAAATATACCTACATTTGTTTTAATTTAACCATATAGCATATCTGTTATTTATATTTATTGACTAACTTGTAACTTTGCTGAATATAATTGGCAAGTAATTGGTAAACAGCCAGTTGTTGGTAATGTTAGGGGTTTATACGGTAGGCAGCGTGTTGTCAGCTGTTAGCAAGACTGTAAACAAAACCACATGTTGTGTACAGTACATCACACTCTTAACTGGAGTTGTTTATGGGAGATTAAAGTGGACTAGTAATTATTATTTACGGTAAATTGATTTAAAATTTCTATGTGATTAAATATTTTAATAATGACATGCATATTAAGTTTGCAAATAATCAATAAGATGGTGATACCATATCGAAAGATGATCCAAGATTGGTTTAATCAGTTCTTGAACAAATGATGGTGGATTTCCAGATTATAGTTTATGACATTTTACTCCTTAGGACTACGATAATAACTGCGGTATATTAGTTGTATTCCCGTGAATACTATCTTGCATTTGGTGGTACAATACAGCGGTAACACGCGTAATTATGTCAACGGCCCGGACGCATATTTTCCAAGTGTATACGCCCATACTCCCACCCCGTATCCCTCGGGACGGCTCTGGCGAGAAGCTTAAGCGGTTCTAGTCCTTTTTGTCCAACCTATATTTGAAGCTTTCCAGCGTGTTGGAGTAAAATGATAATGTTTTCTTTAATGTACAAAAGAATTCGTTTTCTGTGACTTAAGTGGGTTACTCTACCAAATCGTGTCTAATCTTGAAACTACATCGTGCTGGAAATAGAAGTAAAATTAATAACCCCCTCCCCTCCAATGGTGTACGAGGCACGTGGTGTCGTCCATATTGTATATGTCCAGGAATCTCCATAGGACTACCAGAGGTTCCGTAGGGGCCCATGAGACTACCAAGGGTCCCCCAGGGGCTACCAAGGGCCCCATGGGAGTCCCAAGGAATAGCAGGGATCCCAGGGCCCAGTGGGACTACCAGAGATCCCCCAGGGGCCCCATGAGTCAAAGGGTCTCCCATTGGGCCTACCAGGGACCCTATGGGACTACCAAACGAGTACAGGGTCCTCCAGGGGCCTATTAGGATTACCAGGAGGCCTCCAGGACCCCCATGGGACTACCAATGGTCCCCAGTGGCCCCATACTGTGGTGTGGTGGATGTAATCCTAGACAAGGTTCTTGAAACTCCAGGGCACGAGCAGTAGATATATTCAACAAGTGTACAAGATTGGGCGTGATAGCCAACCGATACAGGAGCGGTTACTAGGGACCCCGGACCGTAGGTAGGCCGAGGCTGATCTGAGGGAAATTAGCTAGCCAGGCAAAGAGAGTTGCTAGACATTCCTAGGACAATAAATGAGGTCTTCTAATTACTCGACTAGCGCGGTACAGACATAGTACATCGGGACATAGTAAATGAACATAGGCATTAGACATAAGCATGGACATCAGACATGCTATAATAATATGTAGTAATACAGACATGTGAATAAATGGTACAATGAATGGTAACAAGAGTCCTGGTGTCAGGCGTGTTCACATATCTTGGTATGTACATATCTATACACCTCCCTCCCCCTTTACGCTCGTAGTGCAATCTCGAGCGGCTACGGACTCTTTTTCCATGAGTCGGGGGGAGCGGCGAGGGACAATGGGAGGATCAACTGACGACCTTCGTTCCTGGTCTGGGCAAGGGGACACAGGGGACGGGGAGGAAGGTTCGTCACTAGAGGGTGGCACTGGGCGGAGGTGGCGTCTGTTTCGCCACCACACACGACCACTGGGGAGGCGGACTTGGTACGAACGAGGCTCGCCACGGCCCATGACGACCCCAACCTTGTCCCAGCGGTGTGACGTCGGGTCCTGGATTCGTACTTGCTGGCCGACGGCCAACCTGGGAAGGGGGCGGGCTTGGGCGTCATAGTGGCTTGTCACTTGGGCCATCCGGGCAGCCTCACGGCGGTCACACTCGTCCGCCTTGATCTGCCATTCATCTAAGAAGGACTGGGGGTGGGCAGGCACACAAGTACGAAGGGGGCGGCCATACAACACCTGGGCAGGAGAGCGTCCGGCAGGGGTAGGGGTGTTACGGAGTTCCAGTAGGCCCCTGTCGAACTCCTCGCAGTCCAGGTTCCCCGTCGGTGCTGTCTTGAGGATGAGGTATTTTACGGACTTTACCGCTGCCTCGGCGTGGCCATTCGCCTGCGGGTAATGAGGGGAGGTGACGATGTGGTGGACGCCCCAGCGTTCGGCGAAGCTCTTGAACTCGTGGCTATTGAACGGGGGCCCACCGTCGGTTCGGAGGCGGAGAGGCACTCCGACTTCCCGGAAGAAGCAACAAAACATCCGGATGACCCTGGAAGAGGTGGTGTCCCGACCACAGGGAACTACCACGGGCCATCCAGAGAGCCTGTCGGCGACCACCAGGAAAGACTTTCCGGCCACATTAAAGAAGTCGGCGGACACGGACTCAAAGGGCCGCTTTGGGAGGTCATTGCACAGGTACGGCTCTTGTTGCTGGCTGGGTTGGAGTTGCTGGCAAGGCTCACAGGCCTCAACCGTGCTCTTAATATCGGCGTCAATACCAGGCCAGAAGACGGTCTGACGGGCTCTGCGCCTGGTGGCTTCAACGCCGCGGTGGCTGTCATGGAGGCGGGATAAGGTGCGCCGGCGGAGGGCAGCGGGAACGACGATCCTGGGGCCGTACAACACCAGCTCTCCGTCCGCATAGAGGCTATCCCTTAGCTTCCAGAAGGGGAGGGCGGAGGCGTGAATGTCGTAGCGGTTGGTGGGGAATCCAGCGGAGACGTAGTCGAGGAGTTGGACGTATGCCGGGTCTTGAGCGGCGGCGATGCGAAGCTCCTGGAGAGTCCTATCGTCTTCGATGGAGGGCGTCGTCGTCGTCTTGTCAGCAAGAGAAGTGGCTGTGTGTGTCACTAAAGACCGAACGTGAGCAGCGGCCGTGGTACAGTCGACTTCATCTTCAGGTGTGGGGCGACTAACAGGGGCTCGGGAGAGGGCGTCTGGTATGCACAGAAGCTTCCCGGCGCGCCACACAGCTGTAAAGACGTAAGGGGCGGTCTTCTCTTTGAGACGTTGGAGGCGAGGATTTTCGATGGCGTCCAACGTGTAGTGATTAAGAATGGGTATGAGCGGGCGATGGTCCGTCATGAGGGTGAAATGCCCAAGGCCGAACAGGTAAAGGCGGCACTTGGCCATAGCCCAGGCGACTGCCAGCATCTCTAGTTCGATGGTGGCGTATCTGGTCTCCGTGTCCGTCAGAAACCTGGAGCCACACTGAACTAAGCGCAGTCTACCCTGGCCGTGGTCTTGAAGGAGGGCATATCCGAGGCCGTATAGACGGGAGGCGTCGGTCTGGAGGACCACTGGTAAGGACGGGTCGAAGGGTGCCAAGGCTGGGGGTGACAGCAACGCCTTCTTAACATTCCTGAACGCTAGGTCGTGGTCAGGAGTCCAGAGGAAAGAGCGCTTGGGGCTCATGAGGGGGCGTAGAGGTTGGGCTGATGTGGCGATTTTAGGGGAGAAGTCGGCCAGCTGATTTACCAGGCCCATAAATGAGCGAAGGTCGGTCAGGTTCGCTGGAGTAGGGAAGTCCCTGATGGCCTTGACCTTCTCCTCATCAGCTGAGATCCCCTCTGGCGAGATGTTGTAGCCGCAGTAGTTAACTTGGGGGGCGGCGACCACAAATTTATCTTTGTTCAGGGTGATACCATGGGCACGACATCTTGTGAGCATCAGATGAACTCGGTTCAAGTGGGCCAGGAGATCATCGTCGAAGAGCAGGATGTCATCTACGACCTTCACGCAGTTGGTGACACCCTGCAGAGCCATATCCCCACGGAGGCAGTACGCATCCCCCGTTGCTGCGAAGCCCATGGGTCCGCGGCAGTGTTGGAAGCGGCCGTAGGGCGTGATGAATGTAGTGAGGTGGCGATCTTCTTCCGCCAGGTCGACTTGCCAGTACCCATGTAGTGCATCCGCCGTGGTAAAGAACTTTGCAGACGGGGTGACGCTGCGGACTGCTTGGATGGGCGTAGGCGATGGATGGGCGGGACGGGAGACCTGCGAGTTGAGATGGGTGAGGTCCACTGTGATGCGAACACCTACAGGCTTGGGTGCCAAGACCATAGGGTGGCACCACTCGGAGGGCTCCTCACCGGCGTGTCTGATGATCCCCTGCTGCACCAGAGAATCGAGCTCCGCCTTCACCTTGTCCCGTATGGCAAAGGGGATAGGCCTGGGTGTGTGGATGGCGAAAGGCGTCGCGCCAGGCTTGAGGTGGATTCTCATCGGGGGGCCTGTCATCTTCTTGAGCGGCGTCTTCTGGAGGTCGGGCTTGGAGACAAGGACGTCGCTGAACTGACGAAAAAAGAACTCCCGGGCGGCAGCAGGTGTGGTCATGGCTGAAACAGGTATCTCTGCACACCTGTTGAGGTGTGTCACAGCGAGGATGGGCTTTGGGAACTCGGATGAGACGATGGCCAAGTCCTGACAATGGCCACATGACAAGAGAGGGGTTTGGATGCCCTCATGGACGTGGACTGTGGCAAGGCAAGACTTGGGACCGAGCTGTAGTGTTGCCTTGAAGCAACCCAAAGGTGGAGACATCGGGGACCCGTCCGCTGTGAGCACGTCGTTCATGGCTGTGGGTGACAGGCTACTCCTGGGGATGTTGAGGGCGTCCAGGTGTGTTGGTCCAATCACCGTGATGTCCGCGCCCGTGTCAGGTATCATCAGGAGGTTGGAAGAGTTGGTACCGTAGGACAGACGAACATTGACGGGCTTGGGGGACCTGTCACTCGAGGTATCATCCACGCGTCGGCATCCTTTGTCGTTCTTGGGAGACGGTGGTGTGGACGTTCTGTCGGGCTGTGAAGAGACGTTTTGACCTGGAGATGGAGGCTTCTTGGTGGACCTGCAACACTTGGCGAAGTGTCCTTGCTTGTTGCAAGCGTTGCATGAGGCCTTGTTGGCAGGACATCGAGGTGTGCGGGGCCAATGGCCTTGAAACCCACAGTTTCGACATGTACTATCAGCCGCAGGGCACTTTCCTGGACCATGCTGGTGCTGACAGTTTCTGCAGGATTCGGGAGAAGAAACTGGTGACTGTGACGGGGGCTGTGGGGAGGACGTCGTCTGCATCTGGCGTTGATTCCTCTTGTAGGTGGAGACGGCGTGGACTTGAGATGGCGATGAGTGTATAGCTGAGGCAGCCTCTCTTGTGGCCTCATACGACCTGCAACAGGTGACGAAGTCGGTGAGGGAAGAGGCGGCGTCGAGGGTGAGGAGTTTCTGAAGCAGGTCCTCGTCACGTACACCCATCAGCAAGATCATCTTGAGCTGGATCTCAGCACAGGTTACAGGATCGCCTGTACATAGGTCCACCTCGGTTGCTAGGTCCTTAAGTCGTGCATAGAAGTCTGAGAATGATTCCCCAGAAGCTTGTTTGCAGGATAGCAGTTCCCTACGACGCAAAGCTTCATTGCGGAGGCCACGGAAATGACTCTGCAAGGCGTTTAAAACCTCTGTCACTGACCTGGGGGAGTCAGGGGGGATGGCTAGCGTGTGCTCTAGGAGGCGT